AACGTGGAGGGGTTGGGTGTTACGTTTCGGGCTGTTTGGTTGGGGTTAGGTGGGTAGTCTATGGGGAAGTGTGTTTGGAGTGTTTGGGTGGTATTGTGTGTAGGGTATGTGTTTTATTTTTCAAATGACGTGTTTGTGCATTATTTGGTAACTTCAGAAAGTGTAGTTTGGTAACTTCAGTTCGATGGTATTGTGTATGTAGTTTATGTTTTCTTTTTCTTCTTTAATTTGAAAATGACAATTATGTCCCAAATTTGTTAGTGGGTATGATTTGAATGTGTATGTGGAGTGTTTTGTTTTTATTTAGGTGTGAAAATCTAATAATGTGCTTTCATGTTTTGTTTTGGTGCAACCCTTGTATCACCGAAAAAGCAGCGACAGTGGCAGTAAGTCATAAGCTTTTGCAATAATTTATATATTGTTGTGTGTGATAATTTATATGTACAAGTATGTATGAGTTATTTTGTTATCCATAAATTATGTAGGAGAACTATAATAGTTTGAAAGAACAAGCTATTTAGGAGGGGATTGATGTTGCGCCAGGAGAACTATTTTATGTGCCAACTGATGGACATGATGCAAAAAATCATGTTTTCAGTACAGGTTGAGCTGCGCGTAAAATTCCAAAGAATACTCTAAGACAGAGCAGACGAGCTAGCATTAGCGGTATCTCCGACATGGAGAACAATGAAGTTCTTAGTTTGCGCAAGGAATTGCTAGAATTCAAAGCAATGGTTGAAGCAAGGGACAAAACGATATTGGAGGAACTAAAAATGCTCCGCGGTCATCATGGTGATGGTCGATTTGATAATGAAGATGGTGGTGGTGCAAGTGGTACGACGGGCTGTGTTTGAACATTATACTTCCCTTATGTATTGTTGTTAAACACTTCAACGTTCTTTAAGTACCTTATATTTGAGTCATAATACAATTTGTGGATTGGAGACTACTTTGATTACGATTAATATTTGGTTTGTTTGAAAATTCTCATTGTTCATTTCTTGTGTTTTTTTCCTGTTTCTGCCTTTTGTTCTAGTTGGTATCTGATTTTTGGCCAATTGTGTAGCTGTATGGCTGCCTGTAGAAACTGATTTCTGTCTACAGAATCTTGTCATATTCCGTCGCAAATGTTTTACATGTTATAATGGAAATTGCAAATGCGGTTGCAAACCCACTGCGATGATTTCCATCCGTCGCAAAAGGTCGTCGCAGATATGTCTACAAGAACATCTTGAAGCTCTTGTAAAGTCCGTCGCAAATTCTACGAAGGGTGACCACCGTCGTAAATGTGGTCGTTGAGTTGCGACGTCATGGTCGCACGGCGGTTTGCAGCCAAAAAACTACGACGAAATGAAAGTGGTCGCAAATCCCGTCGTAACCCTGAATTGTGAGAGAAAAGGAGCCATTTGCAACAAAAATATTCCGTCGCAAAAAGCTAAAATTCTTGTAGTGAGCGACGAAAGGGGATCGAGGACAAGGAAGCGGTCGAGTTGTGGAGGATGTATGAGCGATTAGAGAAGCGGTTGGACGCCCAGAACCTGTATTGCCAAGCGGTCTTCAGTGAGGTAATGCCCTTCTCTAGAAGGATAATGTCTTGCCCTCTCCAGGACAATTTTAAGACTTCGTAGGTCAAAGCATACAACGGGACGACCGATCCCCAGGATCACCTCGCTCGCTTTGGGGCAAACGTGGTTATGTATGCGTACCCCGAAGAAATTAAGTACTGGGTCTTCTTGGCGACATTGGAGGGGCAAGCTTGTGAATGGTTCCATAAGTTGCCCAAAGGGTCGATAGACAAGTGGAGCGACCTGGCCAATAAATTCTAGGAGCACTTCGCGTCGAGCCGGAGGCAAAAGCTCCCATTCTCACACCTGCTCAATGTGAAGATCCGAAAGGGGGAGCAACTCCGAGAATTTATCAATAGGTGGGAGAAGGAGGCTAGGGACGTCCAAGGGGCGGACGACCAGGCCATGATTGCTATGCTCCAAGCGGCACTTCCTCAAGGGGATGTGCGCAAGGAGTTGCGACGAAATCCGTTCTCGACCTACCAAGAGATGCTAGCCAGGGCAAAGTATCTGGCACTGGAAGAAGAAGATGACGAGCCACCTGTACGGAAGGAGAAGAAGAGCGGGCAGCCAAAGGGAAGAAAGAGGAAAGATTTTGGTAGGGGGCCAAACCCTACAGGAAATCAGGCGAGCAGATAGTCTGTCCATGCGGTACAGTCCTTACTAGCCCCTCCCCTCAGTCGGGAAAGCTATGGCGTCCAAGACGCACCCAAATACTATGAATACCATCCCAACAGTACCCACAACACGTCGGAGTGCGTTACGTTGAAGAAGGAAATGGACCAGCTGATCGCCAGAGGACCGCCTCCTCGGCCGGAGCGACCAGCATCAGGGAACCAGACCTGGAGGAGACTGACGGCCCCCACTACAGTGATCACAGCAGGGGATGGGCAAGATGGAAGACGACATCTGGGGAGAGACTGCGAGGAAGAGAGGCATAACCACCGACATTGGGGTCTTTGTTGATCATGGGTGGCAACACCAAAGGGGACTCGGTGTCCTCACGAAAAAAGTGGAGAATCATGGTGCACCTAGCCGAGGTGCAAAGACCACCGCTGCCCAAGTGAAAGAAGAAGGAACCTCTGATATTCACAGATGAAGATTATCCACCAGTTCTTAGCCCCCATTGAGACGCAGTGGTGATAAAGGTGGAGATCAATAATGTGTTCATCCACCGCACGTTGGTCGTTAGTGGGAGCTCGGTCAACATCATGTACAACAACACATTTAAGGAGCTAGGATTGTCCCAGGGCAATCTGAAGCCAATCCGTACCCCACTGTTAGGATTTACGGGGGATACTATTGAAGTAGAAGGGACCATCACGGTGAAGGCTGGGGTAGGAGATGGCACCCACCGACTCTGGCTCGACATGGAATGTATGGTAGTGCAGCTTGACCGTGCACACCATTTGATCCTAGGGCGACCGGGTCTGGAAGACTTAGAGTGCGTAATCTCCCCCGTCCACTTGTGCATGAAGTTTATCACCCCCACCTAGGTGGGAGTGGCTAGAGGAAACCAAAGTTTGTCCTGGTCGTGCTATGTTAGAGCGACCTAGAGCCAGGCACAGGTCGATGAGAACATGAGCACGATATATGCTGCAATTCAAAAGGAAGAAGGGCAACCCCAAGCTGAACCGGTGGAAGAAGTTGAAGAAGTTATCCTGGACCCGACCAAGCAAGAACAGAAGGTGAAGGTAGGTAAAGCCCTGCCACTCAGATTGAAGGAGCAGCTAATGGATGTCCTTCATTCGTTCAAAGTGTTGTTTGCCTAGGTCACAGAGGATATGCCTGGGGTCGATCCATGAATCATTTCCACAAATTGACAGTGGATCCGACCCACAGGCCGGTCAAACAGAAGAAGCGTTTCCTTCCCTCAAAGAGGAGAAACTTTGTCACTAAGCAAGTGACAACCCTACGGTCCTTCGGGCACATCTGGGATGTCCGCTACCTAGAATGGTTTGAAAATGTAGTCCTCGCACCCAAAGGGAACACCTGCCAGATGTACGTCGATTATACCGACCTGAACAAAGCTTGCCCGTTGGACCCTTTTCCTCTCCCCAACATTGACCAATTGGTGGATGAGACAGCAGGGTGCGAGTTAATGAGTTTCATGGATGCATTTAGCGGAAATCACAAGATCAAGATGGCTACAGCAGATGAAGAGAAGACCGCCTTCATCACCCCCAATGGGGTATACTATTACAAGGTAATTCCCTTCAGTCTGAAGAGCATTAGTGCGACCTATGCACGAATGGTCAATAAATTGCTCGCGCCGGTGTTAGGGGTGCATGGAAGCATATGTGGACAATATGATCATCAAATCGAAGCAGATGGAGTCCCATGCCCAAGATCTGGAAAAAGTGTTCAGAATCATGACGAAGTTCCAGCTCTGCCTCAACCCCAAGAAGTGCACATTTGGGGTTCAGGGAGGCAAGTTTTTAGGGCACATGGTCAGTCGAAGGGGGATCGAGCCCAATCCAGAGAAGGTGAAAGCGATTTTTGAGATGGAGCCTCCGTGAAACGTGAAGAAGGTCCAACAACTGATAGGGAGGATTGCTGCTCTCAGTCGCTTCTTATCGAAGATAGATGATCGAGCGGCACCCTTCTTTCAGACCATAAAGAAGAACAAAGGCTTTGTTTGGACCGAAGAATGTCATAGGTCCTTTGAAGGTTGAAGGCGTACCTCCTCTCACCGCTGGTGCTTTCGAAGCCGGAGCGCGGAGAGACTTTGTTCCTATACTTAGGAATCTCTCCTCGGGCTGTGAGGTCAGTACTTGTGAGAGAGGATGAAGGTACACAGCGCCCTGTGTATTATGTGGCCCGGGTATTGTGAGGGGCAGAGCTGAGATATACGAATATGGAAAAGACCATCTTTGTGGTGGTGTGTACAGTGAAGAAGCTCACCCCCTACTTTCAAGCCCTCCGGGTCCACGTGCTGTCCTAGATTCCGATCAGAACCCTCCTTTGGAGCTCGAACGCTCCGTCGCGGGTTATCCAATGGGGAGTGTTCTTGGGTTCCTTCCAAATAGAATTTAAGCCGCGGCCAGCGATCAAGGGGCAGGCCTTGGCGGACTTTGTGGTAGAGTGCACCGCAAGGGAAGTGGAGTCCAATGGAGAAGAGCCCGAGGAAAAATGGTGGACCATATACACTGATGGCTCGTCCGCAACCAATGCTTCGGGAGGCGTCGTGGAAATATCACCAGAGGGATTCAAGGCATACTACTCCGTAAGGTTCCGGTTTAAGGTCTCAAACAATGAGGCCGAGTACGAGGCGCTGCTCTGCGGTTTGAGGCTGGCAGCATCATTGAAGGCCGAGCGGATCCAGGTCCGGTGTGATTCTAAAGTGATAGTGGGCCATGTCACAAGAGAATTGGAAGCCAAGGACAAGCGGATGAAGAAATACAGAGACACCGCGTTGGAGTTGCTTAATGCATTCGAGGCGTATTGGATACAGCAGGTCCCCCGAGAAGAAAATGTTGAGGCACACATCCTATTGAAGTTTGGTCTAGATTCCCCGGATCATATCAAGGAGATGACCTAGTAAGAAGAGTTGCTCGAGCCAAGCATCAGTCTCGGACATTTTTTGGTCGTTACACTCAACGAGCCAGATTGGATTGACGAACTAACCATGTACATCCTGGACAAGTAGCTACCAACTATTGGAGTTGTGCCCTAATGGCCAATTGTTTATCGTTATTCTATCATGTATAGGTAGATATAATATGTTTACACATTTCATGCTAATGTAAACAAATATTATATTCCTAGATTTATATTTAAAGATGTTTCTCAGATAGTGTTATTCTTCTGATGAGACAAACATCTTGAAGTAAATATTTATCTGAATGTCCATAGTCGAGTATTAACGAGAGTGGGATATCGTTAATCCATGTGAGACTAGTGTGTGTTTGATGTTTGACTTAGTCTCATAGTCAATGACGGTGTGTTCGCATCCGCACATGGGCAGATATTATCTAGAGATTATAGGATGCCGGTGATATATCCAGAGCACCACAAATCACCCTCAAGTCCTTAAGGAAATCAATGGAATAATGTCCAAGAATTTTCTCCTACTTTGAAAAGCAATGAATACAATTGGAGTGCCCCCCTCCCCCATTTTATTCCCATGGCCGAACTCAAAAAGAAAGAAAAGGAAACATGCTCAAAAACACATGTGGGAAGTACACAAGTACTATGTACTTTCCACCCAAACATGTTCCAAGTGTAAGAGCAACATGACAAAGTCATGCCATGCCCATGGATATGGTACGAAAATCAAAGGGGGAAGAATCAAATTTCTTCTCCTCTAAAATGTTCAAAGTGTATTTTATTTGACATCAATAATTTTATGATATAAAATAAAATACCCAAAACATTTTAAAACAAGTATATAAATATACTTTAAAATAGTTTTTGTCAAAATAATTATTTTCATAATTAAAATGACACTCCAAAATAAAATGTACACAATATAATATATAATGTAATATATACATATATGTACACGTTATAAAGTATTTTACATATATATGTGTACACACACATTATATGTATACTTATATATGTGTGTGCCGTGTACAAAGTATATAGATACATATATATTATATTAAACATTTTACTTTACTATTTTACAATATACAAACTAAATATTATCCCTTCTTATAATCTTACTCTTTAAATTGTCCAAAGTGTGTGACCCGTATAGGCACTTATAAAACTTGCCACAGTATTGACTCTACATCAATACTATAAGTAATAAGCGGTATCTAGCAACACATTATTACCCCCAGATTATAAGGTCAGACGTTTGCTCCGTCAAAACCTTTCTACGACTAAAACTTTGTATAACGTAGATCCTTTTGTCCCAATGTCTTAACTTAGTGCAAGGGATATAAAGTATCCAACTTGTAGCCATTAAGTTATCTACTGATTAACAAGTCTGACTTATGAGAACAGATGTCTAAACTCATCTCAGCATGGCCATGCATTTCTTCAGTCATACTTATCAGTGGGCCCCTACAAGACATTATTCTGCTTGAGTAGCAGTGACAAATTCTTTGTACGTAATCTACGTCTTCGAATATGTGCAGCGGCATGCCCAATACAAAGCCTGTGTACCATCCTTATTTCATACGGCTTAGGACAATGAATCAAAGCATGCAGATTCACACATTCGAAGAACGTAATACTTCAAGTCTGAGGATCGTTATACCAATAGTCGCATTAAGGACACTTAGAGCATAGACTAAAAGTCTAGGCAATGCCCTTAAGGTGGGTCAGGTCTGGCATCCTTTTATTAACAATAATATCTGCCCGAGAGTAGATTCGAACACTCCGTCATTGACCAAGAGACTAGGTCAAACATCTAACTCTCACTAGTCTCACGCGCACTAACGATATCCCGCTCTCGTTAATGCTTCGACTATAGACCATTTAGAATTATACTAAGTGACAAGATGTCAGTCTCAACATCAGAAGACTCATTCTGATAAACATCTTATAATATAATTCTAGGAATGCAGTAAGAGTTTACATTAGCATGAGATGTTTGTAAACTTAATGCATTTGCCTTTACATGATAGAAAATATCTAAGATATTACAACAGCAGTTGGCCATAAGGGCACCAACTCCAACAATCTCCCACTTGCACTATGGACAATCTGGCAACGGTCGAATGCCCATTGACCTAGTGTGACCCTCATGCTTTAGCTTTCCCAAGGGCTTGGTCAAGGGGTCGGCTATGTTGTCGTCTGTTCCTACTTTGCAAATCTCTATATCACCTCGGTCTATGATTTCTCGTATGATGTGATAACGTCGTACAATGTGCTTGGTCTTTTGGTGAGATCGTGGTTCCCTTGCCTGTGCAATGGCCCTAGTGTTGTCGCAGAACAACGGGATTGGGTCATTAACGCTATGAACCACTCCAAGTTCAGAAATGAACTTCTTTATCCAAACACCTTCCTTTGCTGCTTCAGCGGCAGCCATGTACTCAGCCTCTGTAGTTGAATCGGAGGTTGTGTCCTGTTTAGAACTCTTCCAGCTAAAAGCTCCGCCATTCAGGCAAAACACATACCCTGCTTGTGACTTGTAATCGTCTCGATCGGTTTGGAAGCTCGCATCAGTGTAACCGATCACTTTCAGCTCTTCCTCACCTCCATATACCAGGAATGCATCCTTAGTATTTCGAAGATACTTTAGGATGTTTTTGACCGCAGTCCAGTGTGCTTCACCTGGATTCCCCTGGTATCTGCTGGTCACGCTTAAAGCAAATGAGACATCAGGTCTAGTACATATCATGGCATACATGATGGAACCAATTGCAGAAGCATATGGGACCTTCATCATGAGTTCATTCTGCTCGGGAGTAACGGGACTTTGGCTCTTGGAAAGAGCCGTGCCAGGTAACATAGGTAAGGATCCCTTTTTCGAGTTAGACATGCTAAATCGATCAAGGACCTTATCTATATATGTACTTTGACATAGACCTATGAACTTTCTTGACCTATCATGGTAGATTCTTATGCCAAGGGCATAACTAGCATTCCCTAAGTCCTTCATTGCGAAGTTCTCGCTCAACCAAGTCTTTACAGATGTGAGAGCAGGAACATCGTTACCCATTAACAATATGTCATCGACATATAGGATTAGGAATACTATCACACTCCCAGTGACCTTCTTGTACACACAAGACTCGTCAGAATTCTTCTCGAAACCAAAACTAGTGATGGTTTCATCAAAGCGTATATACCAACTCCGAGATGCTTGTTTCAATCCGTAGATTGACCGTTGCAGCTTACAGACTTTGGCAGATTCACCAGCAATTATAAAACCGTCAGGCTGTGTCATATAGACATCCTCTTTGAGGTTCCCGTTAAGGAAAGCCGTCTTGACGTCCATCTGCCAAATCTCGTAATCGTAGAATGTTGCAATCGCAAGCATTATCCGAATGGACTTCAGCATCACAACTGGAGAAAAGGTTTCATCATAGTCAATTCCATGGATTTGTCTATAACCTTTTGCTACCAATCTAGCTTTGAAGGTATGAACCTTCCCGTCTACGTCTGTTTTCTTTTTGAAAATCCACTTGCACCCTATGGGTATTATCCCTTCGGGCGCATCAACCAAGGTCCAGACTTGATTTGTGTACATAGACTCCATTTCGGATTTCATGGCATTAAGCCATTGTTCGGATTCGGGGCACGTGATTGCCTCGAGGTAGGTCTCAGGTTCGCCTTGGTCTACCAGCAAGACGTCACCTTCATCAGATACAAGGAAGCCGTATCTAACCGGAGGATTACGCATCCGGTCTGACCTACGTGGTAAAACCTGAGCCAGTCGAGATACTAAATCTTGACGCTCGGGTTCCACTGCTATTGAGATCTCTTCTTGTGGTTCTCGAATTTCTTCGAGGTCTACCTTTCTCCCACTAGAAATAGCAGAGAGAAACTCCTTCTCAAGGAAGGTTCCGTTCCGAGCAACAAAGATTTTGTTATCGGTCGGATGATAGAACTCATACCCTTTCGTTTCCTTAGGGTATCCCACAAATTTACACCTGTCAGATTTGGAATCCAGCTTACTAGACGTCATGAGGCGTCTAACGTAAACATCACAACCCCAAATCCTCAAGTATGACAAATTTGGTTTTGTCCCACGCCATAGCTCGTATGGTGTGCTCTCAACAGCCTTAGATGGTACGCGATTGAGTGTGTGTGCGGTAGTTAATATGCTTTTCCCCAAAAGGACTCTGGTAATGTTGTCAGACTCATCATACTCCGAACCATATCGAGCAGCGTTCGGTTTCTCCTTTCAGACACTCCATTTAATTGGGGTGTACTGGGAGGAGTCAGCTGGGATAGGATCCCGTGCTCTTTTAGATAGTCGTCGAACTCCAGGCTTAAGTACTCACCTCCTCGATCCGAGCGGAGGGTCTTGATACTTTTGCCTAATTGTTTCTCTACTTCGTTTCTGAATTGTTTGAACTTGTCAAAGCATTCCGATTTGTGTTTCATGAGATACACATATCCATACCGACTGAGGTCATCAGTAAATGTTACGAAGTATGAGAAACCACCTCTAGCTTCAGTGTTGATTGGGCCACATACATCAGAGTGTATGAGGCCTAATACATCACTCGCCCTTTCACCGTGACCGGTGAATGGAGCCTTTGTCATTTTACCGAGTAAATAAGATTGGCATACATCATAAGACTCGAGGTCAAATGAATCAAGTACGCCAGAGTGACGTAACTTAGATATGCGTTTCTCGTTAATGTGGCCCAAACGACAATGCCAAAGGTATGTGAGATTCAAACTGTTTGGTTTGCTTCTCTTAACATCTACGTTATAAACAGTGGCGTCTAAGTCTAAGATATAAAGACCATTGGTCATCTTAGCAGTTGCATAGTAAATATCATTTCTGAAAACCGAAAGGCACTTGTCTTTGACGTTAATAGAAAATCTTGCTTTGTCAAGACAGGACACAGAAATGATATTCCTGCTAATGGCAGGTACAAACAAGCAATTGTTTAAATGCAACAACAAGCCACTGGGGAGAGATAGAACATAAGTTCCTACAGCCAGCGCATTGACAAGTGCTCCGTTTCCGACCTTAAGCTGGACTTCTCCCTCAGTCAAATGTCTAACTTCATGCAAATTCTGCATAGAAGTACAGATGTGAGAACCACATCCGGTATCCATCACAAAAGAGGTGAAATCAGACATGTTGACTTCAATAACGTAAATACCCGAGTTTTTGGGGTGACCGTGTAATAGGTCTCTTAAGCGATGTATCATAGGACGCGCTTCCATGTCCGCGTGGAGCCTTTGGAGCTCCGTGGTCATACTTGCCATAATGATACACTTAACATCTCGCGCGTCGTCCTCATACTTCTTGAAGGAAGTGAGTTCGGACGCACGAGCATTTGCCTTAGGGGTCTTGGGAGGATCCGTTTCGAGGATGTAAAGTTTCCTCTCATAGTCAAGAATGATTCGTAGGTTCTTTTCCCAGTCAAGAAAGTTTTCCCAAGAGAGTTTTTGGCTCTCGAGGATATACCGCAGGTTGATGGAATGACTGTATGTGTTATTTGATGCCATCTACAGAATGAAATGGCAAACTAGGTAACTATCATGTTGAATAATTAATTAGGCCTTTAATTAATTATTTCCCACTATTTTAAAAAACCAACAACCCTCAATGTTGATTCGGAGATTCTCCTAGAGATTCTCTTAATGGGCCAAGATCCATATATCATTAAATTCTAGTTGACCTGAGGTTCGTACCTAGAATTTAACTATTTAGGTAGGAACATAGTTCCAACTGTCGAGCCGCGCTCACAGTTCTTGGTCTTGTGTTGGGCAAACGACAATACTACTTACGGACCAGAACACCGTTTCATTATACACGTGATTGGCTTTGGCACGTACCACATGCACAACTACTTTAGTTAGGGCTAAGCCCAATTAAGTCATAGAGACCCAACTTTTAGCTGGATGAGTGAGTAAAGTAATTCGACTTCTCAGTAGAGTGACCCCAACGAAACCCGCCTCTGAGTCATCCATCCATTTGAAAGAGACTCAGTTAAGTCTAACCCAACGTCTGACAATGACCACTTAAGTGATTCCCGTGACCAGCATAACATACACCGTACTACGCTCTGCTAGGGCTGAGTACGTGACAGTGCACATTAGCCGGAAAGGTGCCGGGCGCCGGAAGGCAATACAGACTTAATATTTCGAGGGGTTTTATATTAATTACGATCTCACGTATGACACATGCCGCGCATGTGTCAATTTACTAGCGTAAAACATACATTCACATGCATTCAAAATACGCAGTAAATAAACGTGTAATGATTGTGGCCCCTAAAAGAAAATAAAACGATAGCTCCGACTGACTTCCAGGCATTTGGACTTCGGGCTATCTCCATTCCTTTAGATTCCCTCGAACGGACTTCGAATCTTTTATCTTTTAACCACCACGTGAGAAAAGAATCCTCGGTTGAGGTAAGAGAGAGAAATAGATTTACAACAAGAGTTTAAGAGATAAGGCACGACACGCAGGCCGTATTATAATCAAATAAATTATAGCCACAATCATCCACCATGCATATCATACATCCACACAGGCAATAGAGATATACATACACCGGGCGAACCGCGCTCGCCCCCGACAATTCTAGAAAAATACTACGTTGGTAATATTTTCTAAAATTCAAAAAAAAATCATAAATTGGTCCAAAAATTATGAAATTTTACCAAGTTATCCTAAAACTATTAAGAGACTTTCGGGCAGGGGCAAAACTGGTAAATAAATTTCCAGGAAACACAGAATGACGAAATTGCCCCTAGTGCAAAGTTTATTCCAAAATTCATTTTAAATTTGAAATAAATTTACAAAAATCATGAAAATTAATTTCCAACTTCCAGTAACTATTTTATACATTTATAAATTGGAAAATTAAATTTCCAGAATTTATAAATATTTATTTCCCAAATATATTAATTATATCTCAATAATTGCAAAATAAATCTTAAACCATTTTTCAAAAATCATTAAATTATAAAATTTAATATTTAGAAAAATCAACTTACTTTTTTCTGAGATATAATTTTCCAAAATGATATTAGCCATTTTCAATTAATATATATATATATATCTATATATATTACTTGGTAATATATATATATATATATACCGAAATATATATATAATTAATTACTAACTAATATTATTTTGTCCAATATATTTATCAACAACTTTATTTCACCTAGAAATAATATTTCCAAGTTTTATAAAGTTCATTTTTGAGTTCCCAATATTTATTTAAGATTTATTGGAATTAAATCTAAACAAATACAATTAACTCAAAAATTGGAAATAAACCATTTCGAAAATTACAATATAATTTTACTAACCATAAAATGAAATTTTATGTTCAATAAAATTATATTAACAATTTCGAAATATATATATATTAATATATATTCGAAATTTCTGAATATATGTATAAAATACATATTTTCGGCACAAATAAATAATGAATATTTATTCTAATGATTTATTTAAGTCCAATATTTATTCCAAGACTAAAATAAATCATTTTACTAATTTTCGAAATTAACAAATAATTACCAAGTTAAAAAATAATTTTCAACCGAAAAAGTTCTACGAAAAACTATAGTTTTGTACGTTGGCTCTGATACCACTGAAAGGTAACCACGGTTGGGAGGGCAGCGGAAATACAAAAATTTAATCTCCCAATAGTGATTACTAGCCCAAGAACACGTACTAAAACTATAGCTAGAGATAGAAAGTTATACCTTCTCCGGTAAAGCGGTATGAACGTGTAGTCGAGCAAAAAGTGTTGAAGGAGCAAACGTAGCCGTTCAAGCGTCCGGCCTCCAACTTTGACACACGAACAATCTCCGGAGTCTACTATAATCTTTATGCTAGTAAAGATTATAATAGTATATTTAATATAAAGATTAAAGAGGGATAATAATATAATATNCCCCCCCCCCCCCCCCCCATTTTATTCCCATGGCCGAACTCAAAAAGAAAGAAAAGGAAACATGCTCAAAAACACATGTGGGAAGTAGACAAGTACTATGTACTTTCCACCCAAACATGTTCCAAGTGTAAGAGCAACATGACAAAGTCATGCCATGCCCATGGATGTGGTACGAAAATCAAGGGGGGAAGAATCAAATTTCTCTCCTCTAAAATGTTCAAAGTGTATTTTATTTGATATCAATAATTTTATGATATAAAATAAAATACCCAAAACATTTTAAAACAAGTATATAAATATACTTTAAAATAGTTTTTGTCAAAATAATTATTTTCATAATTAAAATGACACTCCAAAATAAAATGTACACAATATAATATATAATGTAATATATACATATATATATGTACACGTTATAAAGTATTTTACATATATATGTGTACACGCACATTATATGTATACTTATATATGTGTGTGCCGTGTACAAAGTATATAGATACATATATATTATATTAAACATTTTACTTTACTATTTTACAATATACAAACTAAATATTATCCCTTCTTATAATCTTACTCTTTAAATTGTCCAAAGTGTGTGACCCGTATAGGCACTTATAAAACTGGCCACAATATTGACTCTACATCAATACTATAAGTAATAAGCGGTATCTAGCATCACATTATTACCCCCAGATTATAAGTTCAGACGTTTGCTCCGTCAAAACCTTTCTACGACTAAAACTTTGTATAACGTAGATCCTTTTGTCCCAATGTCTTAACTTAGTGCAAGGGATATAAAGTATCCAACTTGTAGCCATTAAGTTATCTACTGATTAACAAGTCTGACTGATGAGAACAGATGTCTAAACTCATCTCAGCATGGCCATGCATTTCTTCAGTCATACTTATCAGTGGGCCCCTACAAGACATTATTCTACTTGAGTAGCAGTGACAAATTCTTTGTACGTAATCTACGTCTTTGAATATGTGTAGCGGCATGCCCAATACAAAGCCTGTGTACCATCCTTATTTCATACGGCTTAGGACAATGAATCAAAGCATGCGGATTCACACATTCGAAGAACGTAATACTTCAAGTCTGAGGATCGTTATACCAATAGTCGCATTAAGGACACTTAGAGCATAGACTAAAAGTCTAGGCAATGCCCTTAAGGTGGGTCAGGTCTGGCATCCTATTATTAACGATAATATCTGCCCGAGAGTAGATTCGAACACTCCGTCATTGACCAAGAGACTAGGTTAAACATCTAACTCTCACTAGTCTCACGCGCACTAACGATATCCCGCTCTCGTTAATGCTTCGACTATAGACCATTTAGAATTATACTAAGTGACAAGATGTCAGTCTCAACATCAGAAGACTCATTCTGATAAACATCTTATAATATAATTCTAGGAATGCAATTAAGAGTTTAAATTAGCATGAGATGTTTGTAAACTTAATGCATCTGCCTTTACATGATAGAAAATATCTAAGATATTACAACAGCAGTTGGCCATAAGGGCACCAACTCCAAGAATCATCACCAAACCATGCACCCTAACCATACTTACCCTGAACCCACCACCACCTTAATAGCCAATTGTTAGAATAAGTGACCAACGCTAGAGGGGGGGGGGGGTGAATAGCGTTTGATCGTAGAAATCACAGGAATAAAAAAAATTAAGAACGTGAAAAGTAAAGAGCGTAGAAAGCGTAAAGGGAGCACACCAAGATTTATACGGGTTCACCACAACGTGTGGCTAATCCAGTCTCCCGAGAGACTCTCTCGAGCTACACTACTTCCGTAAAGCTTACGGGTGCTTAACAAACCATTACAACTTGAGAACTCGAGTCCCACGAGCCTCAACAACCTTGCTCGGAGATACCGCACTCCAAGACTTCAACCCGAAGGAAAATACCTTTCCTTCGTACAACCAAGGGAAACAAGCTTCCCTTAATGTGTATACAACACTAAGACACTCAAGAACAAGACTCTCCTTAAGAGTAGATGATGAGTAAACTAAGTACGCTCAAGAACAACTCAAACTTCACACAATTTGGCTCTAGAAAGCTATGGAAAATAATGTGATTTGGATGCAATGATAATATGAATATTGTAAAGTGAATTGGTGTGTAAAGCAGACCCAAACACCCCTTTTTATAGTACCAAAATAGGCTCCAACGGACCAATACATTAAAGGGGTGATTGGCTTGATTTATGGGATTGAAAAGATTTGGGATCTGCAGGATATTGGCTTTCCATCGATGTTAGGGACTTACCCATCGCTGGTAAGCCAATTTTTTTTCAGTTTTTAAGCCAACGGTCACATACCCATCGATGGGTAAATGCTTCCCATCGCTGGGTGGGAGGTTGACTTTCAAATAAGGAAAGAATCAGCCTTAAATGACTTCCAACGGTCATGCCTTCCCATCGATGGTTAAGCCTTCCCATCGCTGTGTTCCCATCGATGGGTAAAGCTTCCCATCGCTGGGTAAGGGCATTCTGCCTTGTGATAATGTTGGACCAAGGCTTGAACAGCGATGGGTAGAGTTTCCCATCGCTGTTTGGCATGGTTCTGGAAATCAATTGGGTTGAAGGCTGCTTACCCATCGATGGGTAATATCTCCCATCGCTGGGTGAAATGATTCTGGAATCCCGGGATCACTTACCCATGCATGGGTGAAATCTACCATCGCTGGGTAGATGGCTAGTCCAGAACCATGGCTTAGCCGACCGGCACTGAAACCCGACCGAAAAATTCAAAGTTCTCCAAAGTAAAAACTAAGTGTGTAAAACACTTATTTAATGTATTTTGATGTCAAAATAAGCTTTGTATGTTGAAAACCACGTCGTTAAGGTAAAAACCACGCTTGACCAAATCCACACCGTACACGGGTGGTTTTTACCAAAAGACAAAACTGAAAGGTGATTTTCATGATGTTTTGATTGGAGAACCATTTAAATGCATTTAAAAACAATTCCCACACAGAAAGACTCGAAAACCGCTCCATTTAAGTAAAAACCACGCCTAGCCAAGTTTATGCCGTTTCGCATGGTTTTTATCAAATGACAAAAAACGAAAGGTGGTTTTTGAAGTGTTTTTGATGGAAAACTATTTAAATGTGTCCAAAAGTAAAAACCAATCATAAAATTTTGAAAACCCCTTGGTTGGTTCGGACACCAAAAACCAACGCCGAAAACCAAATGCCGAACGCTGGTTTCTGAAACCCGAACGCCGGATGGCTTGGTTTTTGGTTTGGGCAAACACCAAGTGTTTTTAATGTGTTTAAGCATGTTTGAAAATAATTTTGTTGATATGTAAAATGCAATAAAAAATGGTTTAGCCTAAAGAGCCAAAGTGCAAAGCTTGGATCGGTCTTGATCACATTGTGACCGCAACGATGCAAAAGACTACGGTCTTCGTTCTTGATCTCTTTTAGCTCTTGTTCTCTTGCTTTATTCTTATATTTATTTCTCGCCTTGTATATTCAACAACTTGTCTCGTTCACGGCGGTTTGGCATTATCAAAACTTGTCATAAAAACAAACACGGCTTTAGTACGAAAACACGATAAACCCGTGTTTCAACACCAATCACAACATTTCACAATCCATTCCTAGGAATCCAAAGAAAACCAAGCCCCAATTTCCCTTTCCTCTTATTTTAAAATGCCGAAAATAAGTGTCCAAAAACACACCCAGCATGGTCCCCATTATGTTCCCCAATAATACATCTAGGGATATTTTTTTCTTCACAATAATACATCCACTCTCCACAACAAACATACAATAAAACTCCAAATAACACACCCCACACACACCCCTTTGTCTCCCAACCCTGACCAAATTCAAATTCTCCCAAAACCTCCACAAATACCCAGCCAAATGTACCACTTCATCTTACCCCCACTCCTTGGCCCTCAACCTCAGCCCTCCCCACATTCATCCCTCCTTCCTCCAACATTTCCTGCAACTCAGGAACAGCCCAAAACCCCACCAAACAACCCATGTCCCTGATTTCATTCCACTCAAGAAACATAAGCACATGGGCATTATTTTGAGTGAGTTGTATTTTCCCTTATTCCCTCCAATGTAATCCTATATATTCAGCAATAGGCCTGGGTGTAGAAACACATTGTATTCCATTTTAATCAAAGTGATTCACTTGTGTGTTTCATTCCAAATTCCTAATCCTATATCTTAAGAGTGGTTCTCTTGAGTGTGAGTTTTAGGTTCTAGTTATTTAAATAAGTGTGTGATATCTTATTTGAATGCTAGACTCAACCCCAAGTTAAGATAAGAGTGTGTAATATCCCTTAGCACCAACTTGGCTTTTCCCAAAGAAATACTTTTTTTCTTGTCTCGAGCTGTCAAATAATCGATTATCGCTACAAGAAATCGATTATCTATCCCTCGTGAAACATCTACAGCCTTCAATAGTCGATTATCACTTTCAGATAATCGATTATCAGCCTTTCCTAAAAACCTGCACTTCTCAATAATCGATTGCCACTCCTCCATCAATCGATTATCATCCTTCTCAGAAAATTCCCAGAAAAACTACCCAGAACCTGCATCCGTCCACAATCGATTATCCACTTAGGACAATCGATTATCACCACCTCCCTGCAAACAAAGAGATTGTAACTATAAAACCCTGAGCTTATATATAACATTTGGTATCAGAGCCTGGTTGTTGAGCATTCCCTTGAGGCCATACAACACACTTCCCCTTTTCCTTCCTTTCCATCCCCTTGCCTTTCTCGCCCTTGTTGGAGTTGTGCCCTGATGGCCAACTGTTTATCGTTATTCTATCATGTATAGGCAGATATAATATGTTTACACATCTCATGCTAATGTAAACAAATATTATATTCCTAGATTTATATTTAAAAATGTTTATCAGATAGTGTTCTTCTGCTGATGAGACTAACATCTTGAAATAAATATTTATCTAAATGTCCATAGTCGAGTATTAACGAGAGTGGGATATCGTTAATGCATGTGAGACTAGTGTGTATTGGATGTTTGACTTAGTCTCATAGTCAATGACGGTGTGTTCACATCCGCACATGGGCAGATATTATCTAGAGATAATAGGATGCCGGACTGACCCATCCTAAAGGTGTTGCTTGAACTTTTAGTTCATGCTCTAAGCATCTTTAGCGCGACCATGGGTGTAACTATCCTTCGACTTGAAGTATTACGTTTTCTGCATATGTGAACCCGCATGCTTTGATGCATTTTCCTAATCCATATGAAATAAGGATGGTATACAGGCTTTGTTTTGGGTATGCCGCAGCGCGTATTCAGAAACGTAGATTACGTACATAGGATTTGTCACTACTCTTTTTAAAGAGATTAATGTCTTATGGGGCCCACTGATAAGTTATGACTAAGGAAATTGCATGGCCATGCTGAGATGCTTTTATGACGTCTGCTCCTATTAGTCAGACTTGATAAATCAGTGAATGACTTAATGGATACAAGCTGGATTTTATTAATCCCTTGCATTAATTGTAGACATTGAGACAAAGGGATACAGTTACACGGAGTCTGAGTCGTGGAAAGGTTTTGACGGTGCAAACGTCTTAACTTATAATCTGGGGGCAATAATGTGTTGCTAGATACCGCTTATTGCTTATAGTATTGGTGCAGAGCCAATACTGTGGCCAGCTTTATAAGTGCCTATACAGGTCACACACTTTGGACAATTTAAGGAGTAAGATTAAACAATGGGATAATAAGTAATTTGTATATTTGTAAAAATAGTAAAATAAAATATTTTGGAATGTAATATTATATACTACCTCCGTCCCACTCTTTTTGTCCAGTTTTGACTTTTGGAACTATTCATCTAAGCACTTTGACTCATCAAATTCTCTCAATGTGTAAGTCTAAAAATAGTCATGTGTGATCTTGTTTGATTTGTCTTAACATATAGATTATTAATACATAATTTTTATAATTTTTTAATATATAAATTACAAGATAAAATGGATTTAAGAAGTCCATTAGATGGTGTGCAAAAATGAAAGTGGACAAAAAGAGTGGGACGGAGGGAGTATATATAAATATTCGGTTATATATATTATATATAGATGTGCCGATTAATATATATATATATTATATGTTGAATATTTTATTTTGGTTTGTCATTTTAATTAAGACAAATAATTATTTTGACATAAACTATTTAAAGTATATTTGTATACTTGTTTAAAAATGATATTGATATTTTATTTGATTTAAAATTAATTTATACTAATTTTTGATGTCAAATAAAATACATTTTGAACATTTAAGTGGAGAAGAATTTCACAAATCCTTCTCACAATCTACACTTACGGCCAAAAGAGATTTTAAAGGAGAAAGTTTTCTTTGATTGGAATTTGAGTGGGCTAATTGCTTTGTCATTTAGCTAATGACAAATTAATTACACAACTTTGAATTTGTTAAATGCTCCTCCACGCCACTTTCATCAAGGTAGAAAAAGATTAGGATATTCATTTTAAGTGAGAGAAAGTGATTATTTTTGGTTCCATTAATATCATTTTGTGTATACAAAATATCTATAATATTTTCTAAATATTATTAGAAATATTTTCTATAGAAATATACAAGATTATTATTATCCCAAATATTTACAAGATTATAGAAAATATCTATAATATTTTCTAAATATTATTTTCTATAGAAATATCTGGATATTTTTTTATGCTGGCAGAATATCCAGAGTATATAAAATGATTTTATAAAATTTTATTAGATTTATTTGGAAATCTAATTTAATTTTATGAGTTTTGGAAAATATTTACTGCCGTAGTATTTTTCTAGAACTTTCTCGGGTGAGCGCAGTTCACCCGGTGTATGTATATCTCTATTGATTGTGTGGATGTATGATATGCATGGTGGATGATTGTGGCTATAGTTTATTTGATTATAATACGGCTTGCGTGTCGTGCCTTATCTCTTAAACTCTTGTTGTAAATCTATTTCTCTCTCTTACCTCAACCGAGGATTCTTTTCTCACGTGGTGGTTAGAAGACGAAAAGATTTGATGACCGTTTGGAGAAATCTAAAAGAATGGAGATAGCCTGAAGTCTAAGTGCCCGGAAGCCAGTGGGAGCTATCGTTTTATTTTTCTTTTAGGGGCCAAAATCATTACACGTTTATTTACTGCGTTTTGTGAATGCATGTTGAATGTATGTTGAAAGCTAGTAATGGACATGTGCGCGGCCATGTCGATAGGTGAGATCGAAATTATAAATCCCTCACAAATATTAAGTCTGTTGCCTTCTGACGCACGGCACCTATCCGGCTAATGTGCACTGTCATGTACTCAGCCTCAGCAGAGCATAGTACGGTGCATGTTAAGCTGGTTACGGGAACCGCCATAGCGTGGTCGCTGTTGCACGTTGGGTTAGACTTAATTGAGTCTCGGTCAAATGGATGGATGACTCAGAGGCAGTAAGTTGGGGTCATCAATGTCAAGTCAGATGATTTTACTCACTCATCCAGCCAGGAGTTGGATCTTTATGATTTAATTGGAACTCTGTTCCTAACCAAAGTAGTCTGCTTGTAAGACGTGCCTCAGCCAATTACAAGTGTGGTGAAAAGGTGTCCTAGTCCGATTGTAGTAATATTGTTCGCCCAACACTAGACCAAGAGCTGAGAGCCTGGCTCATCAGTTGGAACTATGTTCCTACCTAAATAGTTTTCATGTGGAGTAACGCCCAAGAGGAACGCAAGATAATGAAATATGGATCTTGGCCCACTAGAGGTTTCGCCGGAAATCTTCGAATCAATATCGAGGGTTATTGATTTGTTAAAAATAGTGGGAGATAATTAATTAAAGGCCTAATTAATTATTAAACATGATAGATAACCTATTTTGCAAAATTTTCTATAGATGGCAAACAACAACAACCCTTTCAACCTGCGATATGTTCTAGAAAAGGAAAAATTATCTGGAACTAACTTTCCTGATTGGGAGATGAATCTTAAGATTGTTCTCGAATGCGAGAAAAAGCTTTACGTCCTAACATCTGAGCCTCCCAAAGCTCCTGAAGCAAACGCCCTTGCTGCAAAAATTACTTCATACCGGAAGTATGAAGATGACGCACGTGATGTGAGATCTCTCATGCTAGCCACCATGACCCGGAGCTCCAAAGGCTCCACAAGGACATGGAAGCTCATCCTATGATGACTCGCTTGAAAGGTCTATACCAAGGCTAGGCTAGACATGAGTGTTTCATAATCTCTATGACTATGTTTTCCAGTAAGCTAGCAACGGGTAATCTAGTTGGTCCCCACGTTCTCAAGATGATCGGTCAGATCGAAACTCTTGAAAAACTGGATGCCCCGTTGCACCCTATGCTGGCAGCTGATCTCATCTTGGGATCATTACCAGCTGAGTATAGTCAAACTGTAGTGAACTTCTACATGAACAAACTAGAGATGACTATGCCTGAGCTACTCAAATTCCTCACAACTGCTGAGCAGAGTCTAGGGAAGGGCAAGGGTAAGTCTGTCTTGATGGTAGAGGGCAGTATTGTTGCGAAGAAGAGTGGGCCACATTCGCCGGCCGGGACCAAGCGCAAGGGTTCTAAGAAACCCAATCCAGCATCCAACTCCTCTTCGTTGAAACCCAAAGAAGGAGCTAAGAAGAAGTCTGTTGTATGCTATTATTGTGGCAAAAAGGGCCACTGGAGGCGCAACTGCGCAAAATTACTGGCAGAGAGGAAAAAGGGAAAGAAACCTCAAACCTCAGGTATCTTCGTTATTCAAGTCAATATGTCTGATATCACCTCTAAGGTGATGGATACTGGATGTGGTTCTCACATCTGTACTTCTATGCAGGATCTGCATGAACGTACGTAGACAATTGACGGAGGGAGAGATACAACTAAAAGTCGGCAATGGCGCACTCGTAAATGCATTAGCCGTCGGAACCTATAGTTTATCTCTACCTAGTTGTCTTGTATTGCAGTTAAATAATTGTCTGTTTGTACCTAGTATGAGAAGAAACATCATTTCTGTATCTTGTCTTGACAAAGTAGGATTTTCGTTCGTTGTAAAAGACAAAACTCTTTCTGTCTTTAGAAATGAAATATTTTATGCAACTGCAAAAATGACCAACGGTCTCTATGTCCTCGACATGGATACCGCAGTATATAACATAGATGTTAAGAGAAACAAACCTAACAGTTTGAATCTCGCGTACCTTTGGCATTGTCGTTTGGGCTACATTAACGAGAAACACATATCTAAGTTACATCGTTCCGGTGTACTTGATTCATTTGACTTCGAGTCATATGATGTATGTAAATCTTGTTTACTTGGTAAAATGACAAAGGCTGCATTCACCGGTCACGGTGAAAGGGCGAGTGACTTATTGGGCCACATACACTCTGATGTTTGTGGTCCAATTAGCACTGTAGCTAGAGGTGGTTATTCTTACTTCGTTACATTTACTGATGACCTTAGTAGATATGGATATGTGTATCTCATGAAACACAAATCAGAATGCTTTGACAAATTCAAAGAACTCAAGAACGAAGTAGAAAAACAATTAGGCAAAAGTATTAAGACCCTCCGCTCGGATCGAGGAGGTGAATACTTAAGCCTGGAGTTCGATGACTATCTGAAAGAGCATGGGATCTTATCCCAACACACTCCTCCGGGGACACCTCAGTTAAATGGAGTGTCTGAGAGGAGAAATCGGACTTTGCTAGACATGGTCCGGAGCATGATTAGCCTGACAACATTGCCAGAATCGTTTTGGGGATATGCATTGAAAACAGCAGCACACACACTCAACAGAGTTCCATCTAAAGCTGTCAAGAGCACACCATACGAACTATGGCATGGGAGAAAACCAAGTTTCTCGTACTTTAAGATTTGGGGCTGTGAAGCTTATGTAAAACGTCTCTTGACGTCTAGTAAGTTGGAGCCTAAATCTGATAAAGTAATTTTTGTGGGATACCCCAAGGAAACAAGAGGGTATGAGTTCTATCATCCATCCGATAACAAAATTTTCGTTGCTCGGAATGGAACCTTCCTTGAGAAGGAGTTTCTTTCTGCTATCACTAGTGGGAGAAAGGTAGACCTCGAAGAAATTTGAGAACCACAAGAAGAAGTCCCGATAGTGTTGGAACCTGAGCAAAGAGATCAAGCAATTGAACCTCAAATTGCTCAAGATATACCACGAAGGTCAGACCGGATACGTAATCCTCCGGTCAGATATGGATTTCTCATGTCTGATGAAGGTGACGTCTTGTTGGTAGATCAAGGCGAACCAGAGACCTTCCTCGAGGCATTTACATGCCCCGAATCCGATCTATGGCTCGAAGCCAAGAAATCTGAAATGGAGTCTATGTACACAAACCAAGTCTGGACCTTGGTTGATGCGCCTGAAGGGGTAAAACCCATTAGATGCAAGTGGGTCTTCTAAAAGAAGACAGACGTAGACGGGAAGGTTCATACCTTCAAAGCTCGATTGGTAGCAAAAAGTTATAGGCAAATCCACGGAATTGACTATGATGAAACCTTTTCTCCAGTTGTTATGCTAAAATCCATTCGGATAATGCTTGCGATTGCAGCCTATTACGATTACGAAATTTGGTAGATGGACGTCAAGACGGCTTTCCTTAACGGGAACCTCAAAGAGGATGTCTTCATGACACAGCCTGATGGTTTTCAAATTGCTGGTCAGTCTGCCAAAGTTTGTAAGCTGCAACATTCAATCTACGGATTGAAACAAGCATCTCGGAGTTGGTACATACGCTTCGACGAATCCATTTCCAGTTTTGGTTTTGAGAAGAACTCTGACGAATCTTGTGTATACAAGAAGGTCAGTGGGAGTGTAATAGTATTCCTAATCTTATATGTCAATGACATATTGTTAATGGGTAACGATATTCCCGCTCTCACTTCTGTAAAGACGTGGTTGAGCGAGAACTTCTCCATGAAAGACTTAGGGGATGCTAGTTATGTCCTTGGCATAACAATCTACCGAGCTAGATAGATCAAGAAAGTTAATAGGTCTGAATCAAAGTACATATATAGATAAAATCCTTGATCGATTTAGCATGTCTAACTCAAAGAAAGGATTTTTACCTATGACACCTGGCACGGTTCTTTCCAAGAGCCAGAGTCCTTCTACTCCCGAGTAGAAGGAACTCATGATGAAGGTTCCATACGCTTCTACGATTGGATCCATCATGTACGCCATGATATGTACTAGACCTGATGTCTTATTCGCTTTAAGCGTGACCAGAAGATACCAGGGAAGTCCAGGAGAAGCACACTGGACAGCGGTCAAGAACATCCTCAAGTATCTTCGCAATGCTAAGGATGCATTCCTGGTATACGGTGGTGAGGAAGAGCTAAAAGTGATCAATTACACAGATGCTAGCTTCCAAACCGACAGAGACGACTCAAAATCACAAGCAGGATATTTGTTTTGCCTGAATGGCGGAGCTTTTAGCTGGAAGAGCTTCAAGGAGGACACAACCGCCGATTCGACTACAGAGGCTGAGTACATAGCTGCCGCCTAGGCAGCTAAAGAAGCTGTTTGGATCAAGAAGTTCATTACTGAACTTGGATTGGTTCCTAGTATTAATGACCCTATCTCGTTGTTTTGTAACAACACTGGGGCCATTGCATAGGCAAAGGAACCGCGATCTCACCAGAAAACCAAACACATTGTACGACGCTATCACATTGTAGGACCTCAGGCGCTACCAACTCTTCTAAAACCAATTGGTGTTAGAAGATGCGCATACCCTAGCCTTATAGTGCATTCAACACACAAGCGCCCACGACATTTGATTGTGACTTGGCCCACATAGCCTCCGCCACGAGACAATTGATGCACACATGGCCAACAATCTCCCCCTCAGCAATTGCTCCCGCTGGGAATCGAACTTGTGACCTTGGCTCTGATACCACTTGTAGGACCTCAGGCGCTACCAACTCTTCTAAAACAAATTGGTGTTAGAAGATGCGCATACCCTAGCCTTATAGGGCATTCAACACACAAGCGCCCACGACATTCGATTGTGACTTGGCCCACATAGCCTCCGCCACGGGACAATTGATGCACACATGGCGAACACACATCATACGAGAAATCGTAGACAGAGGAGATGTGATTATTTGCAAAGTGGATACTCACGACAACATAGCCGACCCCCTGACCAAGCCTTTAGGAAAGCTAAAACATGAGGGTCACACTAAGTCCATGGGCATTCGACCAATGCCAGATTGGCCATAGTGCAAGTGGGAGATTGTTGGAGTTGTGCCCTGATGGCCAACTGTTTATCGTTATTCTATCATGTATAGGTAGATATTATATGTTTACACATCTCATGCTAATGTAAACAAATATTATATTCCTAGATTTATATTTAAAAGATGTTTATCAGATAGTGTTCTTCTGCTGATGAGACTAACATATTGAAATAAATATTTATCTAAATGTCCATAGTCGAGTATTAACGAGAGTGGGATATCGTTAATGCATGTGAGACTAGTGTGTGTTGGATGTTTGACTTAGTCTCATAGTCAATGACGGTGTGTTCGCATCCGCACATGGGCAGATATTATCTGGAGATAATAGGATGCCGGACTGACCCATCCTAAAGGTGTTGCTTGAACTTTTAGTTCATGCTCTAAGCATTTTTAGCGCGACCACGGGTGTAACTATCCTTCGACTTGAAGTATTACGTTTTCTGCATATGTGAACCCGCATGCCGCAGCGCGTATTCAGAAACGTAGATTACGTACATAGGATTTGTCACTACTCTTTTTAAAGAGATTAATGTCTTATGGGGCCCACTGATAAGTTATGACTAAGGAAATTGCATGGCCATGCTGAGATGCTTTTATGACGTCTGCTCCTATTAGTCAGACTTGATAAATCAGTGAATGACTTAATGGATACAAGCTGGATTTTATTAATCCCTTGCATTAATTGTAGACATTGAGACAAAGGGATACAGTTACACGGAGTTTGAGTCGAGGAAAGGTTTTGACGGTGCAAACGTCTTAACTTATAATCTGGGGGCAATAATGTGTTGCTAGATACCGCTTATTGCTTATAGTATTGGTGCAGAGCCAATACTGTGGCCAGCTTTATAAGTGCCTATACGGGTCACACACTTTGGACAATTTAAGGAGTAAGATTAAACAATGGGATAATAAGTAATTTGTATATTTGTAAAAATAGTAAAATAAAATATTTTGGAATGTAATATTATATATATATAAATATTCGGTTATATTATATATATATATGTGCCGATTAATATATATATATATTATATGTTGAATATTTTATTTTGGTTTGTCATTTTAATTATGACAAATAATTATTTTGACATAAACTATTTAAAGTATATTTGTATACTTGTTTAAAAATGATATTGATATTTTATTTGATTTAAAATTAATTTATATTAATTTTTGATGTCAAATAAAATACACTTTGAACATTTAAGTGGAGAAGAATTTCACAAATCCTTCTCACAATCTACACTTACGGCCAAAAGAGATTTTAAAGGAGAAAAATTTCTTTGATTGGAATTTGAGTGGGCTAATTGCTTTGTCATTTAGCTAATGACAAATTAATTACACAACTTTGAATTTGTTAAATGCTCCTCCACGCCACTTTCATCAAGGTAGAAAAAGATTAGGATATTCATTTTAAGTGAGAGAAAGTGATTATTTTTGGTTCCATTAATATCATTTTGTGTATACAAAATATCTATAATATTTTCTAAATATTATTAGAAATATTTTCTATAAAAATATACAAGATTATTATTATCCCAAACTTTAATCTTTATATTTTATACTACTATAATCTTTACTAGCATAAAGATTATGGTAGACTCTGGCGTTGTTCGTGTGTCAAAGTTTGAGACCGGACGCTTGAACGGTTACTTTTGCACTTTCAACGATCTTCCTACGACTTCTTCGTTTTTACCGCTTACGGAGAAAGGTATAAATTTCTTACTCACTATAAGTTTTAGTATGTGGTTCTGGCAAGATAATCATGTTAGGATGTTAAAATTTTTATATTCCGCTGCTATCCTTGCATGGTTACCTATCAGCCCTTGCTATCATGTCAAACACATCCAACAACCTTTCCAACGAAGAACTTCTAGCTACCAATGCCTCCCTCAAAGCCCAAGTAGAGTACTTGGGAAAATAAGTTTCCGAACATGGTGAACACCCCGGAGGAAAGCGATGAAGAAGAAGAGGTTCCTCTCGAGGATAACTCTAGTAACACCGCTAGAGGAGAGAATTATGAACGAGGAGCTAATGATTTCAAGGTTGACATACCAACCTTTGAAGGAAAGAATGATCCCGACGACTTTCTAGAGTGGCTCAAGACTGTTGAGCGCGTCTTTGACTTCAAAGATGTGCCCGAGGAGAAGAATGTCAAAATCGTGGCGATGAAATTCCGGAAGTATGCGTCCAACTGGTGGTCCAACCTATCAACCAAAAGAAGGCGAGAGAATAAGGCTCCCGTGAAGACCTGGCTCAAAATGAGAACCTTGTTGAAGAAGAAGTTCTTGCCCGAACAATATATGTACGAGACAACTTTGCCCGGCTTCATCAACATCTAAGGCAAGGCCCTCGCTCGGTTGAAGACTATACCTGGGAGTTCGAAGAACTCCTACCGAGGTGTGACCTTCAAGAAAACGATTCACAAACATTGGTACGTTACCCATTTGGATTAAACACTCAAATAGCTAATGTAGTTGAGCTGCAACCCTATGATACCTTTGAAGAACTCTCGAAACTGGCTCTCAAAGTTGAATTCCAACTTAAGAGAAACAAAACACCGTTTGCTCGTACCTCCCCCTTCTCCAAACCCCCTCCTACTTCCTCAAAAGCAACTCCAAATACCCCTGCTCAAAACACCCCTTCAAAACCCAACTCCATCGCGTCTACCTCCTCCAATCCACCCCCCTTTAAAACAGCCCAAACCAACGCACGAACTCCCAAATGCTTTCGTTGCCAAGGCATAGGTCATTTTGCCAATGAATGCCCCAACAAGAAGATAATGGCCATTGTTGAGTATGAAGAAGAGGAGATCAGCCCCTCATGGCCTGAAGAAGAGATTGAAGAAGAAGAATGTGTAGGAGCCGATGAAGGAGAACTCTTGGTCATCCGAAGGACCTTGAGTAGCATAGCTAGTCCCGACGATCAACTACAATGGGAGAACATCTTCCATACTCGTTGCACTATCCAAAAGAAGGTGTGTACTTTGATCGTGGACAACAGAAGTTGTACCAACGTAGCTTCTAAAACATTGGTAGATAAGCTGAAGTTGAAGACCTCACCACACCCGAGGCCATACACGATTCAATGGTTGAAGCATGGCAAGGGATTACGTGTGGATTCCCGGAGTTTGGTATCATTAAGCATTGGGCGAAGTTATTCCGACGAGATATGGTGTGATATTATTCCAATGGATGCCTGCCATGTTCTATTGGGACTACCTTGGTTATTTGATTGGAAGGTGTTCCATGATGGATATGCCAACACATATTCATTCCTCATCAACAAGAAGAAGGTTACCCTCACATCCTTGCCCCCCTCTAACCCCACAGCTCCCCCCCCCATCCGAAGAAGAAACCCCCGTTCTCATTTCCACTATATTGCAAGCCGAACACCATGAATATGAACCCCGAAAAGAACTAATTCTCTTTGAAAATGGAGTATCCGATTCCGCCAATACCTCAGCCCCACCTCATCCGTTATCCAATCCTATCATTGAGCAATTCTCCCATGTCTTTCCTGAAGATGTGCCTCACGGCCTACCACCAAAACGAAACATTCAACACAAGATTGATCTCATTCCCGGAGCTGCCCTCCCAAACAAGCCTGCGTACCGAATGAATCTTGAGGAAACCAAGGAGATCCAACGACAAGTTGATGAGTTACTAGCCAAAGGATTCGTGAGAGAAAGCTTGAGCCCCTATGCTATTCCAGCTCTTTTGGTACCAAAGAAAAATGGTACTTGGCGTATGTCTTGTGATAGCTGAGCCCTTAATAAGATTACCATCAAGTATAGGTACCCCATACCTAGGCTTGAGGACATGTTGGATGAACTTCATGGATCCAATATCTTCTCAAAGATTGATCTCCGAAGTGGTTATCATCAAATTCGGATCTTTGAGGGAGATGAATGGAAAATAGCATTCAAAATGAAGTTCGGGTTATACAAGTGGCTAGTTATGCCATTTGGATTAACCAATGCACCAAGCACATTCATGAGGCTAATGAATCAAGTGTTGAAGCCATTTATAGGTCACTTTGTCGTAGTATACTTTGACGACATTTTGATCTACAGCCAGAACGAGGAAGATCATGCTAATCACCTCACTTTGGTGATTAGGAAATTGGAAGAAGAGAAGTTATATGGAAACCTTGAGAAGAGTCAATTCTTTTCTCAAGAAACCGAGTTCTTGGGATACTTTATCTCAAGTTAAGGGATCAAAGTCGATGAGAAGAAAACACAAGCCATACGAGATTGGCCCGTTCCCACAACTATGCAGCAAGTTAGAAGCTTCCATGGCCTTGCATCCTTCTATCGGCGATTTGTGAAGGACTTTAGTACGATCACTGCCCCCCTCACAGACTTGACAAAGAATCCGAAGTTTGAGTGGAACCCGAGGGCCCAACAAGCCTTTGAAGCAATCAAGGATCGCTTAACGCATGCCCCCGTATTGGCCCTGCCCAGTTTCGAGAAGTTGTTCGAGGTTGAGTGTGATGCATCGGGAGTTGGCATCGGGGCTGTCCTAACTCAAGAGGGACACCCAGTTACCTACTTCAGTGAGAAGCTCAATGACACACGGAGACGCTATTCTACCTACGACAAAGAATTCTATGCGTTGGTACGGTCTCTTGAGCATTGGCGACACTATCTCGTGAGTAAGGAATTCATCCTTCACTCCGACCATGAGGCGTTGAAGTACATTCAAGGGCAGCACAAGCTTCGGCCCCGTTATGCCAAATGGGTTGAATACATTCAAACCTTTACATTCACCATCAGGCACAAGAACGGGTCCATGAATAAAGGTGCGGATGCATTGTCCCGGAGACACTTATTACTAATGGTACTTAGTACCAAACTTCTTGGTTTTGAATTTTTGCAGGAACTCTACAAGGATGATGAAGATTTCAAGGAGATGTATGCCCAATGCTTATCTCGGCCCCATGGAGATTACCCAATCAAAGATGGTTACCTCTTTCGTGGTAATCAACTGTGCATCCCGAGGAGCAGCGTTCGTGAAACCCTCATAGACGAGGTCCATGGTGGTGTACTAGCCGGTCATTTCGGGATCAACAAGACTTATTTGATGATGAAAGAACATTACTTCTGGCCCAAAATGGAGAGAGACGTCGAGCACTTCATCAAGAGATGTCACACTTGTCAACTTGCAAAGTCCCAAGCATTACCCCAAGCATTACCCCAAGGAATGCACTTCATTACCGGGCTGCCCCAAACTCAACGAAGCAAGGATTCCATAATGGTGGTTGTGGATAGGTTCTCAAAGATGGCCCATATCATTCCCTGCGTTACTACATACGATGTTTCCCAATTAGCCGATCTCTACTTCCGAGAGGTCGTTAAACTCCATGGCATACCCCGCAGCATGGTCTCTGATAGGGATCCCAAATTCCTTAGCCATTTTTGGATGACATTGTGGAGAAAGCTAGGCACAAAGCTCAAATTCAGCACCGCTAGCCATCCACAAACTGACGGTCAAACTGAGGTCACCAACAGAACGCTTGGAACTCTCCTTCGAGTTCTAATCAAATGAAACATCAAGCAATGGGAAGAGCTACTGCCGCACGACGAGTTTGCCTATAACCGAACCCCAAACAAGACAACAGGACTATCCCCTTTCATGGTGGTCTATGGATTGAACCCTCTTACCCCACTTGAGCTTGATCTCATCGTAGGAAAAGAGCAATACAGTTGGGCAGCTGATCAACGGTCCAAGGAAATTCAAGAACTCCACGAAAAGGTTCAAGAGAAGATTGAAGCGGTAAATGAGAAATTTAGTAACAGGATCAACAAAGGAAGAAAATTCACAAGTTTTCAACCCGGGGACTTGGTTTGGATTCACTTAAGGAAAGAGCATTTTCCCGCTAAACGTAAGTCCAAGTTACTGCCAAGAGCCGACGGTCCATTCGAGATTTTAGAGAAGATCAACAACAACGCCTACAAAGTCAATTTGCCTGGAGATTACGGAGTTCCTGCTACATTCAACGTTAAAAATCTCAGTCCATATTTTGACCCTGAAGAAATTCTGAGTTTGAGGACAAACTCTTCTGAAGGCGGAGAGGATGATATATCCCAGAGCACCACAAATCACCCTCAAGTCCTTAAGGAAATCAATGGAATAATGTCCAAGTGTTATGACCCCCTCTGGAATGAAATCATCACCAAACCATGCACCCTAACCATACTTACCCTGAACCCACCACCACCTTAATAGCCAATCACAACATTTCACAATCCATTCCCAAGAATCCAAAGAAAACCAAGCCCCAATTTCCCTTTCCTCTTATTTTAAAATGCCGAAAATAAGTGTCCAAAAACACACCCAGCATGGTCCCCGTTATGTTCCCCAATACACTCAAATTATAACCCAAAATGCCCAGGGATATTTTTTTCTTCACAATAATACATCCACTCTCCACAACAAACCTACAATAAAACTCCAAATGACACACCCCACACACACCCCTTTGTCTCCCAACCCTGACCAAATTCAAATTCTCCCAAAACCTCCACAAATACCCAGCCAAATGTACCACTTCATCTTACCCCCACTCCTTGGCCCTCAACCTCAGCCCGCCCTCCCCACATTCATCCCTCCTTCCTCCAACATTTCCTGTAACTCAGGAACAGCCCAAAACCCCACCAAACAACCCATATCCCTGATTTCATTCCACTCAAGAAATATAAGAACATGGGCATTATTTTGAGTGAGTTGTATTTTCCCTTATTCCCTCCAATATAATCCTATATATTCAGCAATAGGCCTGGGTGTAGAAACACATTTTATTCCATTTTAATCAAAGTGATTCACTTGTGTGTTTCATTCCAAATTCCTAATCCTATATCTTAAGAGTGGTTCTCTTGAGTGTGAGTTTTAGGTTCTAGTTATTTAAATAAGTGTGTGATATCTTATTTGAATGCTAGACTCAACCCCAAGTTAAGATAAGAGTGTGTAATATCCCTTAGCACCAACTTGGCTTTTCCCAAAGAAATACTTTTTTTCTTGTCTCGAGCTGTCAAATAATCGATTATCGCTACAAGAAATCGATTATCTATCCCTCGTGAAACATCTACAGCCTTCAATAGTCGATTATCACTTTCAGATAATCGATTATCAGCCTTTCCTAAAAACCTGCACTTCTCAATAATCGATTGCCACTCCTCCATCAATCGATTATCATCCTTCTCAGAAAATTCCCAGAAAAACTACCCAGAACCTGCAGCCGTCCACAATCGATTATCCACTTAGGACAATGGATTATCACCACCTCCCTGCAAACAAAGAGATTGTAACTATAAAACCCTGAGCTTAGATCACTCCGAAATATTTTATTTCGTGGTGATAATCGATTGTCCTAAGTGATAATCGATTGTCCATAAGTCACTTTGTGTATTAGATCACTCTTTGAAAAAAATATTTCGGCCATATTTTAGAGAGAGAATAAATGCTATTCTAAGTGTTCCATTAATATCATTAATATCATTTTGTGTATAGAAAATATCTATATTATTTTCTAAATATTATTAGAAATATTTTCTATACAAATATACAAGATTATTATTATCTCAAATTTTAATCTTTATATTTTATACTACTATAATCTTCACTAGCATAAAGATTGTGGTAGACTCCGGCGTTGTTCGTATGTCAAAGTTGGAGACCGGACGCTTGAACGGTTACGTTTGCACTTTCAACGCTCTTCCTACGACTTCTTCGTTTTTACCGCTTACGGAGAAAGGTATAAATTTCTTACTACTATATGTTTTAGTATGTGATTCTGTTCAAGATAATCATGTTAGGATGTTAAAATTTTTATATTCCACTGCCTATCCTTGCATGGTTACCTTTCAGTGGTATCAGAGCCAACGTACAAAACTATAGTTTTACGTTTGATTTTGAAAATTTTAAAAGTCAAAGTTTTAACTTTGTAATTATTAAACTTCAAATATTGGTAAAATTATTTTATTTAGTCTTGAAATAAGTATTGGACTTAAATAAATCATTGAATATGACTTTTAGAATTATTTATTTTATTTCTACCTCAAATATATATATATATATATATATATATTGATTTTTCGAAATATATATTTATATATATTGTAGAAATAGTAAATATAATTTTATTTTGACATAAAACATCATTTTATGATTGATAAAATTATTTTGTAATTTTTGAATGTATTATTTCCTATTTTGAATTTATTGTATTTATTTAGGTGAAAACCGAAAATAAATTTTGGAAAATTCAAAATGAACTTTATTAAACATGGAAATATTATTTCTACATTAAATAAGGTTGTTTATAAATTTATTGTACAAAATAATATTAGTTAGTAATTAAATAAATATATATTTATATATGTACTCGGTATTATTACCGAAAATTATATATATTTATATATTTGTATTTTAATTACATAAATGACTAATATATATTTTGGAAATTTATATCTCCGTAAGAAAAGGATTTTTTTCAAAATATTAAATTTTTATAATTTAAAATTTTAGAAATCAATTTAAATGGCTTTTTATAACTTATTGAGATTTAACTAATATATTTTAGGAAATAATAATTTAAAATTTTAGAAATATTATTTCCAGGTTTATAAATGTTGAAAATAATTACTAGAAGTAGAAATTTAATTTTCCTGATTTTTTCAAAATTGGTTCAAAATGTTAATTGCCTTTTTGAATATAGTTTTGCAAAAAAGGGCATTTTGGTCATTGGAAATATTCTGGAATTTTTTATGCTGGCCGAATATCCAGATTATATAAAATGGGTTTATCAACTGTTATTAGATTTGTTGGGAAAAATATTATAGATTTTGATGATGATGTATTTAGAATGTAATAGGGACTTTAGGTCTCCCCCAATATTCAATGTAATTTTTTCTTTTTAGAAATATTGTTAAAACCAAGTTCGTGAGATTTCCAATAAAGTTGTGATATTTCTTTAAGCGTTTTGATGCCTGAAGACTTAATCAAATTCGTGATATGGAAATTGGATATCTTGATCGGAAATGTCAGAGACAAGTAAGGATTTCTCAATCAGATGAAAATCCTCTGATCCGGAAGACTACATAAGAACCGGATGTCTCGCTACTACCCGCTGAAGGCTAAGTCAGAAGACTAGCGCGGATCTCTTTCTCACCCGGAAGACTAAGAATGACTCCTCCGGATTTGTCAGCTAAGAATCGGAAGACTCATTGAAGACCGGAATTCTCAAAAAGCGGACAAGTGAGAAAAGACTTGGAAAATTATCTAAGTCTTGAATGAAGAAATTCTACCCGTTGGTAAGGAAAAATCAATCTCTTGATTTTCAACGGCTAGATTGAAGATAATTATGCTGATTCAAGAACAAATAACTCGAAGACAAAGTCTGGACCTCTAAAATTGAAGAGCCTGTCCAGAATTCCTAAACAAGCACTAGAAGACAAACAGAGTAAAGTGCTACAGTTCAGAATTCTTGAACAACAGCTAGAATACGGATTCTGTGAAAGTGGAATCACTTCTCAAACAATTGGGTATGTCTAAACACCCACTGCAACGAAGAATCTTCAAATCACAATCTTCATTCAAAATTGAAGCCAGCAAATGCAACGGATAGTCTATTATGATTCAACGGATAGTTTATCCAATCCAGCTATAAATAGCATCCTTGGAAGACTGGAGAAAGTATGAATGAACAACGAGATAGAACAACACAACAAAGCAATCTCTAACAACAAAGCTATCTCATTCACAGTTAGCCCAAAAAGCTTGATAAAGAGAGATTTCTAAACTCCTTATCCAGAAGCAAACTTCTCCTCCTTCCAAAGAGCTATAGTGTAAACACTTGAAGGTTTCCTTGCCTCAAGTACCACACCACGTTGAAGGATACAACTTTTTGATCAAACTTCTTGATTAAAAAAGGGGGTAGGTCAACTTAACCACTTCTTGATATGTTGGATGAAAGATTCCACAAAATCTTGAATGATCTTGCATCACTTAACCACGTTCTTTCTCCCAAAGAAAAGAATGTAAGGTTACTGAGATCACTTCCAACCGAGTGGTACACCAAAGCCACAGCCATGGAAGAATGAAGAAACCTAGAGAACTACACTGTCCAAGGTCTCCTAGATGAGCTCAGAACCTATGAGCACGAGCTGAAGAAGAAGAAGGAAGAACAAGTCACTCCCTTCCCCACGGCACTGATGTCAACTCCAAGAGTCCCACCAAGTGAAGGGACATGCCCAAGGAATTGTGACACACCCTCCTCCAGCCAGCCGTCAAGCTCACAAATGGAGAACTATGATGAGGAATTTGCCATGATGGTCAAGCAATTCCAGAAGTTCAAGAAGTTCTTCAAAAAGACTGACTCAGTTAGAAGGCCATCCAAGGGAAAGCCACAGGTAAGTGACTCCCCTCCTGAATCTTATTTATGCTATAACTGCAGGAAACCTGGCCACTGGAAGTCAGCATGCCCGTACCCAAAAGTGGAGAAGTACGGAGAAAGAGAAAGGAACGAGAAGAAAAAGAAGGCAATGGTTGCTGCTGAAAGTGACGAGTCATCCAGCTCAAGCTCAGATGAAGAAGCCCTCGTCTGCATGGAGCGCAGAGCTGAGAAGTCCAACCATGAGGATAGGTGGACTATGTCAGAAGATGACACTCTCTGCCTAATGCCCAAAGATGATGCTGAACAAGAGGTAACTTCACAAACCTCATGCTCATCTTCTTATGAAAGCATACCAACTTCTGAAAATCTTTTTGACCAGTTCAAAAAGATGATGGAAGATTTTGAGGAAATAAATCTCAAACATTCATCCTTAACAGAGGAGAACAAACTAGTGAGTGAAGAGAATCTCAAGTTGACTGAAGGTCGGAAAAGTCAACTGAATGAGATCACTCAACTCAAGAGTGAAAATGAATCTCTCTCTAAAAAGGTGAAATCTCTTAGCAAAGAACTAGGTATACTTAAGTCCAAAGAAGCAGTGGATAAGCTTCTTGAAACAACCAACCATAAGGGTCGTAAAGGACTTGGGTTTGACCCCTCTAGTTCCAAAAGGAAAGGGAGAACAACTTTCATCCCTCCTAAACCTACTGCTAAACCAAATAAGCAGAAAGGAAAGGAAAAGGAGAAACCAACAGAAGTTCCCAAAAAGGTTGTCCCTCCTAAGAACTATAGGAAGCTGGACAGACCTCAAAAAGGAAATAATTTCAGAAGAAAACCTTCTAACCCCCACTACACACGAGGCTATACTCATTATGGGGTAGATAGGAGTTTTCCAAGAAATTCTGAGTGGAGAACTATGCCAAGATATAGTCATCCTCCACCCCAGAAACTATTTGTGCCACCTAAGTATGCTTATAACTGACACAGGTCACACTATGCACAACCTAGACAAAACTATAGGTCTTACCAACCTAGGTTTGCTAGGAGGAAACAGGAAATTGCACCTCCTGCACGTAGGAAGTTTTATGCCTACAACTATGATTACAATCCTAACAAGTTTAAAGCTGCAAGGAAAATTCCCTTCAACTTCAAACTTGAAGTAGGGACACACACCATTAACTATTCTAGACCCAAACTTAATTGGGTACCAAAATCTTCCTCCTCCTAATGCAGGAAGCCGCTAAGTACCCAGGTGTCTGGTACTTAGACAGTGGCTGTTCAAGACACATGATGGGTGATGCGAGCCTTTTGAGCAATCTAATTCCCTATGATGGTCCAAGAGTTACTTTTGGAGGAAGCAATGATTTTGGCCTTACTAAAGGGCTAGGAAATCTGGTGTACAAGGGACTAACCATCCAAGCTGTATCTTATGTTGAAGGTCTCAATTATAACCTTCTTAGCATAAGTCAGTTTTGTGATAAAGGTTACTCCTTGGAATTCTGCAAGGACATGGCATCTCTCAAGAACATCTCCACAAATGAAGTCATTCTCACTGGGAAGAGAATCAGAAACATCTATGAAGTNGAAAATTCCCTGCAACTTCAAACTTGATGTAGGGACACACACCATTAACTACTCTGGACCCAAACTTAATTGGGTACCAAAATCTTCCTCCTCCTAATGCAGGAAGCCGCTAAGTACCCAGGTGTCTGGTACTTAGACAGTGGCTGTTCAAGACACATGACGGGTGATGCGAGCCTTTTGAGCAATCTAATTCCCTATGATGGTCCAAGAGTTACTTTTGGAGGAAGCAATGATTTTGGCCTTACTAAAGGGCTAGGAAATCTGGTGTACAAGGGACTAACCATCCAAGCTGTATCTTATGTTGAAGGTCTCAATTATAACCTTCTTAGCATAAGTCAGTTTTGTGATAAAGGTTACTCCTTGGAATTCTGCAAGGACATGGCATCTCTCAAGAACATCTCTACAAATGAAGTCATTCTCACTAGGAAGAGAATCAGAAACATATATGAAGTAATATGGGATGATGTCAAGGACGCTTGTCTAATCAGCAAAGGTGATACTAACCTTTTATGGCTTTGGCATAAGAGGTTGAGTCATCTCAACTTCAAAACTCTCAACAAGCTGTCCAAAGAAGGGTTAGTAGAAGGTCTTCCCAAAGCTGTATTCAGGAAAGAAAGCATTTGTGATGCTTGCCAGAAAAGGAAAGCAAGTCAAGTCTACTTTCAAGGCAAAACCGGCACCCTCAACTATAAGGATATTAAGTCTTATCCACATGGACTTATTTGGCCCTGTTACACCAATAAGTCTAAGTGGAAAGAAATATGTCCTGGTGGTAGTTGATGATTATTCAAGATACACGTGGACAATCTTCCTCAACGGCAAAAAGGAGACTCAAGGGAAACTCACCAACTGTATGAAGTTGAATCAAAACCAAGCAAGTCAGACCATTCAGAAGATCAGATCGGACAAAGGCACAGAATTCCTGAATAAAATCATCATTCATTATTGTGAAGAAAACGGAATTCTTCATCAGACATCCGCAGCAAGGACACCTCAACAGAATGGTGTAGCTGAAAGAAGAAACAGAACCTTGAAGGAAGCAGTAAGAACCATGCTAGCAGAAGCTTCGTTGCTAAAGAGGTTCTGGGCCGAAGCTGTCAACACGGCTTGCTATACTCAAAATAGGATTATGATTTATAAAAGGCACAACAAATCTCCCTATGAACTATGGAACGGGAGAAAGCCTAATATATCATATTTCCATATTTTTGGGAGCAAGTGTTTTGTGTTAAACAACGGGAAGAATCATCTGAACACTTTAATTTGATGAGAAATCAGATGAGGCCATCTTCCTAGGATATTCCTTGGTGAGCAAGGCATTCAGAGTCTTCAACAAAAGAACCATGATCACTGAAGAGTCAATACATGCTATTTTTGATGAAAAACATGTAGTTGACAAGCCATCAAAGCATGATCATGAGGTTCTGGATCTATCAGACAAGGATGAAGAAGTCAATGAAGGAGATAGAATGAAGCCCACAGAGTTCATTCCATTCAGAAGTCTGCTTCTGAAGACTCACAGAGAAATCCGGACTCAAATAGAACTGAGCCTTCCGGAAATCTTGGCCAGCCTTCCGATATTTCGGATCTCTCAAACGGCGACAATTCCGGAAATGGCGACCCAGTGCCAATCCATCCGGAAACACCAACAACTTCTGTTCTTCAACCAGAAGCTGAACTAGATCAACCAGTCAATCCCAATCAACACAATCTTCGTTGGTTAAGGGATCATCATCCTCAACAAATCATTGGAGACATTCAATCTGGCGTTTGCACAAGGAGTGCCCAACAGAATCTAGAAGCTATGCTTGCTTGTTTCATCTCACAAGTGGAACCAAAGAATATTGAAGAAGCTCTAGCTGATTCTGATTGGATCAATACAATGCAAGAAGAACTCAACCAATTTTCCTGAAATGACGTCTGGAAACTTGTTCCCATATCTACTCATCAACATGTCATTGGGACAGAGTGGGTCTTCCGGAACAAGATGGATGAAAACGGCGTTGTTGTCAGAAACAAAGCCCGGTTAGTTGCAAAAGGATATTGTCAAGAAGAAGGTATAGATTTTGATGAAACCTTCGCTCCAGTTGCTAGATTTGAAGCTATAAGGCTGTTTCTAGCCTTTGCAGCTCATAAGGATTTCAAAGTCTATCAAATGGACATCAAAAGCGCATTTCTCAACGGAAACCTCGAGGAAGAAATTTATGTGGAACAACCTCCAGGATTTGAGTTACACACTAATGGAGATCAAGTGTATAGACTCAAAAAGGCGTTGTATGGACTCAAACAAGCACCAAGAGCTTGGTATGATACATTGTCTCAATTTCTTATAGACAATGGATTCACCAAAGGAGTCATTGACAAGACACTATTCAAACTACAAGATGGAGAAGATCTCCTATTAGTCCAAATTTACGTGGACGACATCATATTTGGCTCAACTAAGGAAGATCTTTGCACCAAGTTCTCAACCCTCATGCAAGGAAAATTTGAGATGAGCATGATGGGGGAACTCAATTTCTTCCTTGGTCTTCAAATCAAACAAAGAAGTGAAGGAACTCTCATCAATCAAGCCAAGTACAGAAGGGATCTTATCAAGAAATTCAAAGTTGATCAGAAGTCATCCGTTTCTATCCCCATGAGTACATCCACCAAACTTGATATGGATGTAGATGGAAAGGATGTAGATCAAACTCTCTACAGTGGAATTGTAGGATCTCTACTCTACCTTACTGCAAGCCGTCCGGATATCTCATATGCATTAGGTGTTTGTGCCAGATTCCAGTCAAAGCCAAAGAAAAGTCATCTGATAACAGCTAAAAGAATTCTTAGATACCTCAAAGGAACTCAGAACATGGGTTTATGGTATGCTAAGAGCAATTCATTTGAGTTAGTGGGATACTCAGATTCTTACTTTGCCGGTGTCAAAGTTGACCGGAAAGGTACATCTGGTACTTGTCAATTCATTGGCGGAAATCTTGTTTCTTGGTTTAGTAAGAAGCAAAACTCCATTTCTACATCAACAGCAGAAGCAGAGTACATTGTTGCTGGTAGTTGCTGTGCTCAGATTTTGTGGCTGAAGCAACAACTACTGAACTATGGAGTCAAGACAAAGGAAGTCACAATCTTTTGTGACAATCAAAGTGCTATAGCCATCTCTCAAAATCCAGTGCATCATTCTCGCACTAAGCGCATTGATGTCAAGAATCACTTCATCAGAGATCTTGTGGAAAAGAAAGATATCAAAATTAAGTATATCTCAACTGAAGAACAACTGGCGGATATCTTCACAAAACCACTAAGTGAAGCCAAGTTTTCCGGTTTGCTTCACAAAATTGGTGTAATTCAATTAGACTGAGTGCGGTACACGTGGCAGACCACTTTCCACGTCTGTCAAAATATTGGGTAGGCACGTGGCCTTGGGAATAGTCAAAAACTCAATCGCCACCAGCCGCATAAATCGCCCAAATTAAACCCAATCGCCACTTTTCAAATCTCTGTTCCGTCGTCTTCTTTGTGAGAAATCTAAATTCTCTCAAAAACCCTAAACTTTGTCTTCAGAATTCTTCAGATCTTTACTCAAATTTCTGAGAAAATGAAGGTTGTCGGCGCAAATGTTCATTTCCAGAAGTTGGAAGCCAAATGCTCTTCAGCGGCGTTCTATCAAAGCTATCTGGAGATGATAGCAGCTCAAGAACTCTCCGAATTTCTTCAAATGGAGATTCGCCTCAAATTTGAAGAAGAAGTTCTTGAATTCTACAGAAATGGAGAGGTCAAGACTGCTCATTCAAAGAAGGACCCAAAGAGGATGATTCAAGTCATCAAATCCACTGTTGGAGGTACCAAAGTGAAGCTTTCGCAGAAGAAATTGGGAGAAAAGCTTCACCTTCCCAATTCTGGAGTTGAAATTGCGATATTTCTAGTCAAAAATCTGGACTGGAACATCATTGGAATTTCCAGGCAAATTCCTTCTGGCCCAGCGAAGAAAGCAAACCTGAACAATGACTACAAGTTATTTTTGGAACTGGTCATCGCATGCCTTGAGTGTGGAAGTGGAGGTCATGCTGATGACATCACCCAGGAGAGAGCCTTCATCATCAACGCTCTCATTACCAAATCTAAGGTAAATTGGGCTGCACACTTCTTCAAATCCATCTCAAAACATCTGGGAAAGCACAACCAGAAATATCTTTGTCAAGGTCTGTATATTGGACATATTTTGGAGTCTATGGGTGCTGCTTCTAAAGGAAAGAAGTATGAAGAAAGATATTGGTTATACTATCTGTCTTCAAAAGGGGAAAACAGAGCTGGTGCTAGTGCTACTGCTGAGGAAAGCTCTTCAGATAATGTCCCACTCATCCATCTGACAAAGACTGCCAAAAGGAAGCATGTGGTGTCTCCCTCTCCAAGTGTTGAAGCACCACAGAACCTTGCTTTGATCAATTTGGAAGAAGAAGAAGAAGTCTCTGACCAAGGAGAACTTCAAAGAAAGAAGAAGAGGAAGATCAACTCTCCATCAACATCTGGAAATGTCAATCCGGATGAGTTGAAGGAGAATGAACCAGCTGAGGAAACCACTGCCCAAAATCGAAGTTCTCAACAACTTGAAGAAGAAGTTCCTCAAGCTCAAAGCCTTCCAGCCTCATCTCAGCCTCAATCAGATGTTGCTGAAAACAAATTCTGGCAGCTCTACTATAATTGGAGAGCTTGGAAAGTTGGAAATTCAGCAGAGCAACTGTTGGATTGGGATCAACAACTGAAGAATGAGAAGATCATCAAGAAATGCCTAGGACTACCATTCAACCACTGCTGTGAAGATATGTTGGATGACTACTGGGTATGGCAAAGGAACAATGAAGATCTTCATCTGGAACACTTGGCCACCACACCAGTTTCAGATTTTGAAGCAGATGATGAAGACACTGCAGTCTACAAGCCAATCTTTTCTAGAGTCACAGAAGATCAAGTAATTCTCACTTCTGAAGCAATAGCTGACCTGGAAGCAACAGCAGAAGAGTTTCAAATCTCCCCTACCGGCCCTTCCGGATGAGATACCGGAACTCTGGACAAAGAAGGTCCAAGGGCTGATTGAATCAGCCCTAGCATCTCAACATGCCTCCTTTAGGCAAGAGATAGAGCAGATGGAAGCCAGGTACACTCAGCTGATAGAGAAATCAGAAGAAAAACACAGCGCAGATCTCAAGGAAATAAGCAAATCAGTAGAAAAGACTCTAGAGATCATCTCTCTCTTGAGTAAAACGGTGAGCAACACGATGGAGATATATGCCTCTAACAGTCAACTTCAACTCAAGGAGATTAACAAAGTCAAAGAGCAAATAGCGAGTGTCACAGTTGGTCTACAAAAGCAGATGTCCCTTCTCCAAATGGACATCAGATCAGCCCTAGCAGTAGCTTCAGCAAATCAGGTAGTGACCAAAGACTACTTGAAGGTTATCATTGACAATCAAAAGGAAGCATTCAAGCTGTTCAGACTTATTGGCGCAAATTCTGGAAATCGCAAGATGGAAGTAATTCTCCAACAACACAGTCCATCTCCAATACCACAGCTCCCCATTGCAGTCAAAGAAGGAGAAGTCTTTTATATTCCTTCTCATCTGAACATGACAAATCTAATCCTTGAAGCACAACAAAGCAGTCCGGAGAATTCAGCACAACATCTATCTAGCTCAGGACTAGATGGAACATAAGGTATAGGAACAATTGCTGCCCACTTCTCAAATGATTTCCTAACAGAGGAAAGGCGCAACAATTTAAGGCGTATCAAAGAACTCTGTGGAAACATGCAAGGCATCAGTGAGGCTGCTGGATCTTCAAAGCGCAAGAGAAAGTGAAGGTTCTTTTCATCAAACCAGGGGGAAAGTATGTGAAAACACTAATTTGTTTTGATGAAAACACCTTCTTGCTTAAACAATGCTTGATTGGTTTAAACATTGCTCTTAATTGTGCTTACTATGCTTAATTATGCTTATCTCAAGTATGATTTTGAAAATATTTTTCTGAAGCGCATACATTCAGGGGGAATGTAATTCAGGGGGAACTTAACTAGTTTTTGGCTAACAATTGTTTTTGGCAATGAATTATTGATGAGCTCTAAGCAATGGAAGACGGATATCTCAGTTTTGGTACTAAAATTGGAAACCTCCGATTCAGGTACTTTACAAAATCTGCCTTCTTAAACTAAGCTTTAATTCTTAATTCATTTCCAACTAGCTCTAAAAGTACTGGTCCTTAGAATTTTTATAATGTACAGGACTTTGGAAAAATAGTACCACTTTTCTTTTAAAAATAAATTTTATATTTGTTTTGGTACTACCTCGTCCTAAGTAGAAATTAGAACTATAGGGAATGAAAAATGATAGTTTTATTTTGGGCCTTGAGAACCCAATAGGAATAATTTCCCTTTAGTACATAGTTTTCTTTTTGGGCCACTCTTTTGGGCTTTGCCAAACTAAAACAGTTACGTTTCTCAAACCAAACGAAACTGAGTTTCTAATTGGAACAGTTTCAATTCTTTGGTAACTGGTAAAAGATTCCTTCAACTTTTCAAAATTCAACTTCTTGGAAGTTGAAACTCTTTTACTCTCACCGTTCCAACTACCCACTTAATGGAACCCGTGAACCTCCTCCTCCCATATTTAAATCAAGACATTCCAATCCATTTCCATCACAAACAACTCTCAATATGAAAGTCTTCAAGTTCACTGTCTGAGAAAAACATTAAGAAAAATACTCTCTATGGAGAAATTTCTCTTCCTCACCCTCATAGACGGCAATGGAGAAAAGCCTAGTGAGAAGGAAAGTAATTCAATGTATATGATGTAATTCTCGGTAGTAGAGAATGTATATGATGTAATTCTCGTATTTTTTAGGATTATATCATACACTTTCTCTGGAACAACACTCTCTCTATTTTATTTTATTTTTACCTTGACCTCTTTCCCCTCCCTTTCTTTTCTTTTCTTTTTCTAAAATTTTTTTGGACAGTCTCTGCACCCTTCTCCCTCTTCAAATTTCTTTTTGTGCAGAATCTGTTCTCTTTCTTAAACATTTTCTTTCCTTCGTCTTTAAACTTTTTTTTATTTTTGCCTTCATCTTTAGTTTTTCTTTTAAAACCTTTTTATTCCCTTCATCTTTAATTTTTTTTCCAAAACCTTTTCTTTCTGTCTTTTTCTTTTCTTCTTCCGCCGCCTCCCGCTTCTCTTCGTTTTTCGTTCTTGTTTTTGTTTTTATTTTTTGAGAGACGTGTTGCTTCCCAGATCTCTGTTATCCACTTTGGATAATAAAGATCTATCAAACGCAACGCCAACCGCTCTGCCAAGCAAGTTCTGCTGCAGCTGAAAACGGTCAATGGCGAAAGATATCACAAAATCTCAAGACAAGACTTGGTTTAGGAATTATTATAATTTGAATTGTATTTGCTTAAGATTTTTTGTTAACAAGCTGTATATTATGAGAAACTAAAAGAAAGTTATAAAATTAGTTCTCAGTACAGCGACCGGAACTCTTAAACACTTGTTTGTCATCATCAAAAAGGGGGAAATTGTTGGGAAAAATATTATAGATTTTGATGATGATGTATTTAGAATGTAATAGGGACTTTAGGTCTCCCCCAATATTCAACGTAATTTTTTCTTTTTAGAAATATTGTTAAAACCGAGTTCTTGAGATTTCCAATAAAGTTGTGATATTTCTTTAAGCGTTTTGATGCCTGAAGACTTAATAAAATTCGTGATATGGAAATTGGATATCTTGATCGGAAAAGTCAGAGACAAGTAAGGATTTCTCAATCAGATGAAAATCCTCTGATCCGGAAGACTACATAAGAACCAGATGTCTCGCTACTACCCGCTGAAGGCTAAGTCGGAAGACTAGCGCGGATCTCTTTCTCACCCGGAAGACTAAGAATGACTCCTCCGGATTTGTCAGCTAAGAATCGGAAGACTCNAAGACCGGAATTCTCAAAAAGCGGACAAGTGAGAAAAGACTTGGAAAATTATCTAAGTCTTGAATGAAGAAATTCTACCCGTTGGTAAGGAAAAATCAATCTCTTGATTTTCAACGGCTAGATTGAAGATAATTATGCTGATTCAAGAACAAATAACTCGAAGACAAAGTCTGGACCTCTAAAATTGAAGAGCCTGTCCAGAATTCCTAAACAAGCACTAGAAGACAAACAGAGTAAAGTGCTACAGTTCAGAATTCTTGAACAACAGCTAGAAGACGGATTCTGTGAAAGTGGAATCACTTCTCAAACAATTGGGTATGTCCAAACACCCACTGCAACGAAGAATCTTCAAATCACAATCTTCATTCAAAATTGAAGCCAGCAAATGCAACGGATAGTCTATTATGATTCAACGGATATTTTATCCAATCCAGCTATAAATAGAAAGTATGAATGAACAACGAGATAGAACAACACAACAAAGAAATCTCTAACAACAAAGCTATCTCATTCACAGTTAGCTCAAAAAGCTTGATAAAGAGAGATTTCTAAACTCCTTATCCAGAAGCAAACTTCTCCTCCTTCCAAAGAGCTATAGTGTAAACACTTGAAGGTTTCCTTGCCTCAAGTACCACACCACGTTGAAGGATACAACTTTTTGATCAAACTTCTTGATTAAAAAAGGGGGTAGGTCAACTTTTTTACAAGTTGGTCTTGCAAGTCCTATTGTTCGGTTCTTGCAGTTGTTGAAGAAGCGTGACCTTCGAAGGAACAACATAGCCAGCACAAGTGCAGTAGCAACTATGGCCTTGCGAAGATATACCGTGCAGAAATTCACACAAGTGTAATTGTTGGTTCATTATTCAACAACCAACTACATAGTGGATTTTGAGGACGTAGAAGGATTACCCCACCTTCGAACCTCGCTAAAGTTTGCGTGTCTCTCTCTTTTATCTTTACTCTTACTTGCAATTATATTAACTGTGAAGACTAACCCATCCATATTGATTACTACTCACTCTACCCACCAAATTCCGCACACAATCTAAAGTTCACAAGAACTCTAGATTTACACTCATTTTTACATTTTCAAAAGGAACGAAAAAGTTTTTAATTTTGTAACAAAGTCTATTCACCCCCCCCCTCTAGACTTTGTATCTCACCACTTTGGGACCACCAAGATTTATTTGGACATCTAATTTATTTTTATGAGTTTTAGAATATATTTACTGCCATAGTATTTTTCTAGAACTATCTGAGGTGAGCGCGGTTCACCCGGTGTATGTATATCTCTATTGCTTGAGTGGATGTATGATATTCATGGTGGATGATTGTGGCCATAGTTTATTTGATTATAATACGGCCTGCGTGTCGTGTCTTATCTCTTAAACTCTTGTTATAAATCTATTTCTCGCTCTTACCTCAACCGAGGATTCTTTTCTCACGTGGTGGTTTGAAGAAGAAAAGATTTGAAGTTCGTTTGAAGAAATCTAATAGAATGGAGATAGCTCGAAGTCCAAGTGCCCGGAAGCCAGTGGGAGCTATTGTTTTATTTTTTTGGGCCACAATCATTACACGTTTATTTACTGCGTTTTGTGAATGCATGTTGAATGTATGTTGAACGCTAGTAATGGACATGTGCGCGGCCATGTCGATAGGTGAGATCGAAATTATAAATCCCTCACGAATATTAAGCCTGTTGCCTTCTGACGCCCGGCACCTATCCGGCTAATAGGCATTGTCATGTACTCAGCCTCAGTAGAGCATAGTACGGTGTATGTTAAGCTGGTTACGGGAACCGCTATAGCGTGGTCGCTGTTGCATGTTGGGTTAGACTTAACTGAGTCTCGGTCAAATGGATGGACGACCCAGAGGCAGTAAGTTCGGATCATCAATGACAAGTCGGATGATTTTACTCACTCATCGAGCCAGGAGTTGGATCTTTATGATTTAATTGGAACTATGTTCCTAACCAAAGTAGTATGCTTGTAAGACGTGCCTCAGCCAATTACAAGTATGGTGAAAAGGTGTCCTGGTCTGATTGAAGTAATATTGTTCGCCAAACACCAGACCAAGAGCTGAGAGCCCGGCTCATCAGTTGGAACTATGTTCCTACCTAAATAATTATCTTGTGGAGTAACGCCCAAGAGAGGTTTCGCCGGAAATCTTCGAATCAATATCGAGGGTTATTGATTTGTTAAAAAGAGTGGGAGATAATTAATTAAAGGCCTAATTAATTATTAAACATGATAGATAACCTATTTTGCAAAAATTATCTAGATTTAACTTTCTTGGTTGGGAGATGAATCTTAAGATTGTTCTCGAATGCGAGAAAAAGCTCTACGTCCACATCTGAGCCTCCCAAAGCTCCTGAAGCGAACGCCCGTGCTGCTAAAATTACTTCGTACCGGAAGTATGAAGATGACGCACGTGATGTGAGATGTCTCATGTTAGCCACCATGACCCCAGAGCTCCAAATTAAAGGCTCCACAAGGACATGGAAGCTCATCCTATGATGACTCGCTTGAAAGGTCTATACAAGGCCAGGCTAGACATGAGCATTTCAAAATCTCTACGACACTGTTTTTCCAGTAAGCTGGCAACGGGTAACCCAGTTGGACCCCACATTCTCAAGATGATCGGTCAGATCAAAACCCTTGAAAAACTGGACGCCCTGTTGCACCCTATGCTGGCAACTGATCTCATCTTGGGATCATTACCAGCTGAGTATAGTCAAACTATAGTGAACTTCTACATGAATAAACTAGAGATGACTATGCCAGAGCTACTGAAATTCCTCACAACTGCTGAGGAGAGTCTAGGGAAGGGCAAGGGTAAGTCTGTCTTGATGGTAGAGGGCAGTACTGTTACGAAGAAGAGTGGCCCACGTTTGCCGGCCAGGACCAAGCGCAAGGGTTCTAAGCAACCCAAGCCAGCGTCCAACTCCTCTTCGTTGAAACCAAAGAAGGAGCTAAGAAGAAGTCTGCTGTATGCTATTATTGTGGCAAAAGGGCCATTGGAGGCGCAACTGTGCAAAATTACTGACAGAGAGGAAAGAGGGAAAGAAACCTCAAACCTCAGGTATCTTCATTATTGAAGTCAATATGTCTGATATCACCTCTTAAGTGATGGATAATGGATGTGGTTCTCATATCTGTACTTCTATGCAGGATCTGCATGAACGTACGTAGACAATTGACGGATGGAGAGATACAACTAAAAGTCGGCAATGGTGCACTCGTAAATGCATTAGCCGTCGGAACCTATAGTTTATCTCTACCTAGTGGTCTTGTATTACAGTTAAATAATTGTCTGTTTGTACCTAGTATGAGCAGAAACATCATTTTTGTATCCTGCCTTGACAAAGCAGGATTTTTGTTCGTTGTAAATGACAAAACTCTTTCTGTATTTAGAAATGATATATTTTATGCAACTGCAAAAATGACTAACAGACACTATGTACTTGACATGGATACCGCAATATATAACGTAGATGTTAAGAGAAACAAACCTAACAGTTTGAATCTTGCGTACCTTTGGCATTGTCGTTTGGCCACATTAACGAGAAACGCATATCTAAGTTACATCGTTCCGGTGTATTTGATTCATTTGACTTCCAGTCATATGATGTATGTAAATCTTGTTTACTTGGTAAAATGACAAAGGCTCCATTCACCGGTCACGGTGAAAGGGCGAGTGACTTATTGGGCCTCATACACTCCGATGCATGTGGTCCAATTAGCAAGGTAACATTTAAATTATTAGGAAAAATTACTCAAAATAATCCCAACTTTACCCTGTCTTTCAAAAATAAACCCACCTTTCACTGTGATGCATAATAATTCCAACTTTATTGAAATTTGCCAATTTTGGGTCGCCGTTAAATTTCTAACGAAGAGTTAACAAAAATGCCCATTTTAGACAACAAAATGAAAGTTGGGATTATTTTTGATGAATTTTTGTTTTTTAATTTTTTCTTTTTTGAAATTTTTATTTAAATTTTTTGAATTACTTTCAACCTCCAATTCTTTTTCTTTTTTAAAGATTATTCTTACCTTAGAAAAAAAATAGATATAAAAAATAATGAAAATGAGAAAAATAACTAAAACAATACAAAATTAATCAAATAAATAATGTAATCAATAGAAATTAAACAGAAAATGGTAAAAATAAAATAAATATACACGGAGTGGTGGGTTTTAACATTTTACACACTATACGAAGTCTTAATATACTACTTATTTTTTAAAAGAACAAGCCGTCTAGTAAAATTGGAATTATTCTAGATAATTCTTTTCTAAAAAATAAGTAGTGATATGTTAATACTTTGTATGATACGTAAAATGTTAAAACCCACCCGTATATTTTTATTTTACTTTTACCAATTTCAAGTTAGTTTCCATTGATTACCTTATTTATTTTATTATTTTTGTATCATTTTAGTTACATTTCTCATTTTTTCATTTTTATATCTATTATTTTTATTTTTTAAACTAAGACTAATCTTTAAAAAAAGAAAAAATAAATGATGATGGAGGTAGAAAGTAATTCAAAAAATTTAAATAAAAAATTTTTAAAAAATTAAAAAACAAAAAATTCATCAAAAATAATCTCAACTTTCATTTTGTTGCCCAAAACGGGCATTTCCGTTAACCCTCTGTTAGAAACTTAACGGCGACCCAAAATTGACAAATTTAAGTAAAGTTGAGATTATTATGCATCACAGTGAAAGGTGGGATTATTTTTGAAAGACCGGGTAAAGTTGGGATTATTTTGGGTAATTTTTCCAAATTATTATTACCTATATCAAATGAATACATCAATGTCAAATGCTTAACCATGATAATGGTTACGTGCACACCTACAAACTAAGGAGTTACACTCCACACGGGTTACAAGAGCAAATACAAATACAAGTACAACAAAGTTACACACAAAGTACTTCAAGGTTTACAAATTAACAGGGTACAACAAAATCACAACAATTTCAGATTTCAGGGTGTCCTTAACACATAGAAATTAGACACTGGCATCAAAAGGTGGTGCAATTTCTTCATGGGGTAAACCACACTTCATCACTTTCAAATTAGTGCACGTACAGCAGGTCACTCGAGTTATCAAAGGTCTGATCACACACACACACACACACACAAGGTCTATGCTAATCACAAAGGCCATCCTCATGGTTAAGCAGGTAACATCAATGTATTTGAATAGCAACATGGTCCACCAGAGGGTAAGCATAGGAATCACAACAGAAGAACTCCAATGTAGCAAGAAAACTGGCAGGGTCATCAGCATCACCGGGCATTGGGGCATACATCAGCAAGTAAGATCATCACAGGCCATACAACAGCAATTAAGATCTTCATTAAGTGGACTAGTACAGGAGAGCTTGCCAAGATTCAAGACATATCTCCCACAGCCATATTTCAATGGTATAGGCAGAGGTTCATCAGCAGCAGCATCAGCAAATCAGTTCACAAAGAGGGTTGAAGACCAGGCAGGGTTCAAAAACCATCAATTCAAGCTATCTGGGTACATATCCAAGAGATGGCAGGCCATCAAAGATTTCCATACAGAGTAGTTTCTAACAAAGGTCAGAAAGATCAAAGTTCCAAGGTACAAACACAATTCACATCCATCAATCAAATCCAGATCAAAGTCAAAACTAGGATATAGTCCATGCTATCCTAACCCAATTTGAAGGAAACTGGGTTAGTTTAGTTGGTCTAAATCCAAAAAAAACAGCAAGGAGAGAGAAGAAACGAACAAAGAGAGAAGGGGGGAGAAGTAAACAGAAGAAGAGAAGGGGAAAGAGGGAAGACAAAGGGAAGGAGAGGTGGTGAGACCACCCAAACCAGGACCCAATCCCACTTGTAACCACCCAAAAGGGTAGGAAGAAGTAAGTTTGTTTCCACAGCCAAAAACCCACCCAAAAAACTACCCAGGAGCCATGCCACTCTACTTTAGCCCAATCGGAAGAAAGAGTTGGGTTAATTTAGTGTGGCATGGTTCTAAGAGAGGACAAAGTGAGGGAGAAAGGAAGGAAAAGGAGAAAAGAAGCGGGGAGAGGGGAAGAAAGAAGGGAAAAAAGGTAAACCCTCAACAAACCCAGGACCCAAAAGTCTCTATACATCCAGAAGGGGTGCATAGAGTTAAATTTGTTTCCTACCACCCTAATGGCAAGCCATCAAGGTCCCCCAAGGGGCAGGTAGTAAAGACCTAAACCCCACCCACCAAGGAGCCCACAACCCAGGACCCAAATTATTCTTCACATACCCCCAAAGATGAAGGGTATGTGGAGTTTAATTTGTTTCCAGCAGCCACCACCAAGGGAAACACCCACCCCTGGGACCCAATCTATTCACTACCCCCAACCCTAAAGGGTGGGTGGGTAGTGTTTAGATTGTTTCCAAACAAGCAACCACCTAGGGGTAACCCCCAACCAGACCCAAACTATTCTCTAGTCAACCACACCAAAGATGAGTTGATTGGAGTTTAGTTTGTTTCCAGCAAACAAAGAGAAGAAAGTGTGTCATCTCAACCACCACCCAACAAAGCATCAAAACCCAAGGGCACCAACCCCCTAAATGAAGCACCAACCACCTCTAAGTCAAAGTGGTTAGGCTAGAGGGGAACAGCCTAAACATAATCTTGTACATGCTCAACCTGATCATATAAATTATCTTCTGAACATCCACAGCATGATTATCAAACTACACAATGTTCCTCATCTTCCAGATGTGGTAAATGACACTCATAGTTCCCAATCTACAAAACTTCTTCCTGTTGTTGTGTCCAGTATGCTGCCTCCTTAGCCACTTGATGGCTCTTTTTATTGTGGAGAGTGAAGCATCAATGTTAAGCCACTGCTTGATCCCATTCCAAACATGTGAGCTGATATGGAAAGAGAAGAAAAGGTGCTCAGAGGTTTCCAGTTCCATATGACAAAGACTATTGTTTTTAGTTTCCATTTCCACAAAGGGTAGGTTAACTTTGGTGGGTAGGCACCTACGCAAAGCTAACCAGGTGGTGAATGAAAATCTAGGGGGAATGTATGCCTGCCAGATGCACTTCATCCATGGCTTAATAGGGTTTCTAGTTCTGAGGGTATCATAAGCCTTGGAGGTGTTAAAGGCCCCATTGTGACACAGACCCTGCATGTACTCTTCAATGTTATCAAGCCCCTCACATTTCTCAATCATGGTGTCTCTAGCAATGGACAGCCTTTGGAAGAGGTGTGAGTCACCCTTCTTAGGTGTCCACACCAGATCTCTCTGCCTCTAAGATAAACTGAATGGACCCATTTTACCCACAATGTATCCTTCCTATAGGCAATATTCCAAAGGTTCTTGACCAGAAAAGCTTGGTTCCAGGTGTAGGAATCTCGAAGTCCCAATCCTCCTTCTTCAGTGGGCTTACAAATATCAAACCAAGCAACCTTTGAAAATTTACTTCCCCAAAGAAAAGTTCTGCAAATAGTGGTAATCCTGTTAAGAACAGACTTGTGGACTGGAAAGGCTTGAAGCCAAAAACTCTGAATTCCTTGTATGACACTCTTAATCAGCTCCACTCTCTCTACCCGGGACAATGTCTTGGAATTCTATTTATGTATATTCTCCTCCACTTTAGCAATAAGGGGGGCAAAGTCCCTTTCAGAAGCCCTTTAAGATGTGAGTGGCAAGCCCAGGTATTTGACAAAACAGGTAACTACAGGGAATTGCACCAGGTTCAAAATATCATCTTTATTGTCCTTAATTTCACCTGCAAGATAAATGTTAGACTTATGTGGGTTAACATGAAGTCCAGAAACTTGAGAGAAGTGTCTAAGAGCATCAGCCAGCACTGTAACCGAGGTGACATCTCCTCTAGAGAAAAGCATCAAATCATCAGCAAAGGCAATATGGGTTATCTTCTCAGTAGCACAAAGCAAGTGATAGCTAAATTTCCTTTGTTTGACCATCATCTTCATCAATCTAGAGAAGTATTCCACACAAAAAAGAAATAGGGTGGGTCCCATGGGATCCCCTTGCCTAATGCCTCTCTTGCATTGAATAAACCCATGAAGTCCACCATTGATTGGCAAGGAGAAGGATGCAGTGGTAACACATTACATAACCCATCTGACAAAAATCCAAGGAAACCCTAAGCCTGTCATGACACTTTCAAGGAAAGACCATGAGACAGTGTCATAGGCTATGGTTATATCCACCTTCATCATGCACCTGGGTGAGGTTCTCTTCCTGGCATATCTCCTAACCAACTGATGTGCAAGCATTACATTGTCCATCAGGTTCCTACCCCCAATAAAGGCAGATTGGGCTTTGTCAATGAGTCCAGGCAGAAGAGGACTCATCTTGCTGGACAAAATTTTGCTAATGACTTTGTATGTAACATTAAAACATGCAATAGGTCTAAAGTCCTTCACTCTAGGGTTTTGCTTGACTTTAGGTATCAAAGCCATAGTGGCATGGTTAATTTGCTTTAATAATTTCCCACTCTTGAAAAATTCAGAGACAGCCTGAAACAGGTTTTGCCCCACAACATTCCATTTAGTTTTGAAAAAAAGCAGATGTAAACCCATCAGGTCCAGGTGCCTTATCATTCCTAATGCTGAAGAGTGCTTCCTTAACCTCAGCAATATGCACATCCTTGACCAGGTTAAGTGCTTGCTCAGGGGAGATAAGCAATCCTTCCCAAAACACCTCCCTGTTGAGTGGGGCAACCCCTGGGTTACTCCCATAAAGCTCCTTGTAGTAATTAGTAAAAAGGCCAGCAATCTCCTCCAAGGATGTGGTGATCCCTCCATGTTCAGTAGAAATGAAAGGAATGGATTTGGTGGCATTCTGCTTCCTCATCAAAGCATGGAAGTACTTGGTGCATTTATCCCCCTCAACAATCAAATCAGTTTTAACCTTCTGCTGGAAGAAGGCTCTCTCAACCTCGAAATAAAAACTTGCTTTTTTCCTTAGCATGTCCCTCTGTTTTAAAAGGTTTTGATTATGAGGTTGAAGTAACAAGTCCTTCATGACAGCAATGTATTCCTTCCTGGCCTCTTTTGCCCTCAGTGATATGTGACCAAATTCCTGCTTGTTGAGCTACTTTAGAGGTTGTTTTAGCATCTTCAATTTTTTGCGAAGTCTAAACTGCATGGTACCCTCCACCCAAATGCTCCAGTTGTTCTGTAACAGACCATCAAAGGACTGATGTGGTCCAATTAGCACTGTAGCTAGAGGTGGTTATTCTTACTTTGTTACATTTACTGATGACCTTAGTAGATATGGATATGTGTATCTCATGAAACACAAGTCGGAATGCTTTGACAAATTCAAAGAATTCAAGAACGAAGTAGAAAAAAAATTAGGCAAAAGTATTAAGACCCTCCGCTCAGATCGAGGAGGTGAATACTTAAGCCTGGAGTTCGATGGCTAACTGAAAGAGCATGGGATCTTATCTCAACTCACTCCTCCGGGGACACCTCAGTTAAATGGAGTGTCTAAGAGGAGAAATCGGACTTTGCTAGACATGGTCCAGAGCATGATTAGTCTGACAATATTGCCAGAATCATTTTGGGGATATGCATTGAAAACAGCAGCACACACACTCAACAGAGTTCAGAGTTCAATCTAATGATGTCGAGAGCACACCAAACGAACTATGGCGTGGGAGAAAACTGAGTTTCTCATACTTTAAGATTTGGGGCTGTGAAGCTTATGTAAAACGTCTCATGACGTCTAGTAAGTTGGAGCCTAAATCTGGTAAAGTAGTTTTTGTGGGATACCCAAGGAAACTAGAGGGTATGAGTTCTATCATCCATCCGATAACAAAATTTTCGTTGCTCGAAATGGAACCTTCTTTGAGAAGAAGTTTCTTTTTGCTATACTAGTGGGAGAAAGGTAGACCTTGAAGAAAATCGAGAATCACAAGAAGAAGTCCCAATAGTGTTGGAACCTAAGCAAAGAGATCAAGCAATTGAACCTCAAATTGCTCAAGATATACCACGTAGGTCAGACCGGATATGTAATCCTCTGGTTAGATATGGATTTCTCATGTCTGATGAAGGTGACGTCTTGTTGGTAGATCAAGGCGAACCAGAGACCTATCTCGAGGCAATTACATGCCCCAAATCCGATCTGTGGCTCGAAGCCATGAAATCTGAAATGGAGTCTATGTACACAAACCAAGTCTGGACCTTGGTTGATGCGCCCGAAGGGGTAAAACCCATTGGATGCAAGTGGGTCTTGAAAAAGAAGACAAACATAGACGGGAAGGTTCATACCTTCAAAGCTCGATTTGTAGCAAAAGGTTATAGACAAATCCACGAATTTGACTATGATGAAACCTTTTCTCCAGTTGTTATGCTGAAATCCATTCGGATAATGCTTGCAATTGCAGCCTATTACGATTACAAAATTTAGCAGATGGACGTCAAGACGGCTTTCCTTAACGCTAACCACAAAGAGGATGTCTTCATGGCACAGCCTTACGGTTTTCAAATTGCTGGTCAGTCTGCCAAATTTGTAAACTGCAACGTTCAATCTACGGATTGAAACAAGCATCTTAGAGTTGGTACATACGCTTTGACGAAACCATTTCCAATATTTGGTTTCGAGAAGAACTCTAACAAATATTGTGTATACAAGAAGGTCGGTGAGAGTGTAATAGTATTCTTAATCTTATATGTCAATGACAAATTGTTAATGGGAAACGATATTCCCACTCTCACTTTTGTAAAGACGTGGTTGAGCTAGAACTTCTCCATGAAAGACTTAGGGGAAGTTAATTATGTCCTTGGCATAAGCTACTGAAATAGATCAAGAAAGTTAATAGGTCTGAATCAAAGTACATATATAGATAAAATCCTTAATCGATTTAGCATGTCTAACTCAAAGAAAAGATCTTTACCAATGACACCTGGCACGGTTCTTTCTAAGAGCCAGAGTCCTTCTACTTTTGAACAGAAAGAACTCATGATGAAGGTTCCATACGCCTCTGCGATTGGATCCATCATGTACGCCATGATATGTACTAGACGTGATGTCTCATTTGCTTTAACCGTGACCAGCAGATACAGCAGATACCAGGGAAGTCTAGGAGAAGCACATTGGAAGTACAGCGGTCAAGAACATCCTCAAGTATCTTCGCAATACTATGGATGCATTCCTGGTATACGGTGGTGAGGAAGAGCTAAAAGTGATCAATTACACAGATGCTAGCTTCCAAACCGACAGAGACGACTCAAAATCACAAGCAGGATATTTGTTTTGCCTGAATGGCGGAGCTTTTACCTGGAAGAGCTTCAAGGAAGACACAATCGCCGATTCAACTACAGCTACTAAGTACATAGCTGCCGCCGAGGCAGCTAAAGAAGCTATTTGGATCAAGAAGTTCATTACTGAACTTGGAGTGGTTCCTAGTATTAATGACCCTATCTCGTTTTTTTGCGACAACACAGGGGCCATTGCACAAGCAAAGGAACTGCGATCTCACCAGAAAACCAAACACATTGTACGACGCTATCACATTATACGAGAAATAATAGACAGAGGAGATGTGGTTATTTGCAAAGTGGATACTGACAACAACATAGCCGACCCCCTGACCAAGCCTTTAGGAAAGCTAAAGCCTGAGGGTCACACTAGGTCCATGGGCATTTGACCAATGCCAGATTGGCCATAGTGCAAGTGGGAGATTGTTGGAGTTGTGCTATGATGGCCAACTATTTATCGTTATTCTATCATGTATATGCAGCTATAATATGTTTACACATGTCATGCTAATGTAAACAAATATTATATTCCTAGATTTATATTTAAACATGTTTATCAGATAGTGTTATTCTGCTGATGAGACTAACATTTTGAAGTAAATATTTATTTGAATGTCCATAGTCGAGTATTAACGAGAGTGGGATATCGTTAATGCATGTCAGACTAGTGTGTGTTGGATGTTTGACTTAGTCTCATAGTCAATGACGGTGTGTTTGCATCCGCACATGGGCAGATATTATCTAGAGATAATAGGATGCCGGACTGA